GCGATTCCAATTGGATGTTTATCGTTGAGGGATTTGACTGGGAGGATCACTGCATGTCCAAGCATCCAAGCATCATAAGCCACGAACCCAACTATCGGCATGAACGACCCACCTTTTGTATGCTTCTGGCTCAAGAGATGTTTTCAGTGAAAATTGTCTGCCAAGAATGTTTCGAGTAAATGTCTCGTTCCCAAGTGGTTGCGGTGAATCTTTTTCGCTTCCGCAAGACTCGTCAGTTGGGGACTTGAAAGTTGTGGCGCAGAAATCCTTTGTAAAGGGTTTCTTGAAATTTGTTACAGCAAAAGGCGATGTCTTGACCAAGCCCACGGAGTCTTTGCAAGCTGCAGGGATTTGACAAGGAGAGCACTTGACTGCTGTTGCGCAAAAAGCGCAGCAGCAACGCAAAGCGCTTTCGCACTCTGGAGCTATGGAGGTGACCAAGTCGTGACATGGGGCAACCCATGCCATGGTGGTGACAGCTCTGCAGTTCAAGATCATCTCAGGAACGTGCAGCACATTCAGTCCGGTATAAGGCTTTCGCAGCCATATCGGGCAATGGTTCAGTAATTACTTGGGTCCATCCAAGGTATGGTGGTGACTGCTCCGCAATTCAAGATCAGCTCCAGAATGTGCGGCAAATTCAGGGAACACGTGGTGGTTGCGGAGCCTTTGCCGCCATCTTGGGTGACGGATTAGTCGTCACCTGGGGTGATCCAAAGTACGGTGATGACAGCTCTGCAGTTCAACATCAGCTCAGGAACGTGCGACACATACAGGCCACGCCTGATGCATTTGCCGCCATCTTGGCTGATGGATCAGTCGTCACCTAGGGCGATCCAGTCTCTGGTGGTGATAGCTCTGCAGTTCGCCATCAGTTAAACAATATGCAGCACATTCAGGCCACTCATGCTTCTTTTGCAGCCATTTTGGCCGATGGGTCAGTGGTTACTTGTGGCCATCCAAAGTATGGTGGTGACAGCTCTGCAGTTCAAGATCAGCGCAGGGACGTGCAGCACATTCAGGGTACTGTTGGCGCATTTGTCGCCGTTTTGGCCACGGGATCAATCGCCAAGTGGGGCAGTCCAAGAGCGGCCGTGACAGTTCCGCAGTTCAGTAGTGTAGTGCTAGCGACCCTGCCCTTCAGATCAATGCTTGACCAGCGGGAAGAAACGCTGAGCCGCTGAGTGTGATAATCATAAAGCAGGCGCACGAGATGTGACTCAAACAACTGTCAGAGCGATTGTTGATGATTGCAACTGATTATACAAATTATACATTATATATAATAAATATATGATATATATCATGTTGGTTTATCGTTTCACGATAAGGTCTCAAGGGGTTGGTCCATGGTCACACTCCGACCTTAGGAGAATCTAATGATCAACCAAACTGGTCTCTGTTTCACTAGGGAAGCCATAGTTTTGGGGCGGTATCCCCCTATCCCAAGACAAATCCAATTGTACTTGTAATTATATTTATATATAGACATCACACGAGTAAATATATCACATATATATATACGGGTATTTAATTGTAATTGTATGTAATTGTAATTATATATGTATATACGAATCACCTTATATATAAATATATCCCAAATGATATTCACATAATATAATGCATATATATATATGGTTCCTATATAGGTTCTTTTCATGATTCTATCCCTTGCCAAAAAACCTCGAAAATCCAGTTGTGTTTTGCTGAGGTGCGTGGCGCCAACGATAAGCAGATCCAGTCCAACACGGAGATCAAGTGGGGGAACTGAGCGGCTCACTGATCCACGGAATTTCTGGTGACCCTGGGGGAAACAACTCTGTAAAGCCACAAACGTTGGGATATAACATGATATATTACATGATATCCATTTAAAACACTAACAGCATATTATAAATAGTATATTATATTAAAACACTAATAGTATTGTTCAACACATACATACACATATATATATATATTAACGACAGTATATATTATATATATAACTATGATATCCATGATATCTATCAACTATGGTATATTATATATCCACTTCTTACTGGAACTGCACTTTCACAACTAGTAAGTCCTGAGTGGGTTCTCCCAAAAAAAACCTTTGCCTTCCAGTTACTGTACCTGTCAGATCAGTAAGCAACATTAACCAACCCCAATTCGACATGGTAAAATAACCCTGATTACATATCTCAGTAACTGCAAGGTTAGGGAGACCATATGTTCGGGAATATGGCTATATAAATTATCTCATTTACAATCAAGGTTAGGGAATATGAGGGATTCCAACAAAATGGGCTACAGAACCTATGCTTGTTGAGAAACAGGCTGACGACCCGACCCCCAAGTCGTAGGAGCAACGGCCGCAACAACCATGGGGGAATCAAACAATCCATGGGGGGTAGAATGGGATATAGTAGAAACATTATACAGAATTCATTCTACAACTGGAGGAGACCTCTAGAGTTGTTCATTTGAAAGCATAAACCCCACGGAAAAAAAAAAACAAGGATTTCAAAGTTCAAAGGTTCAATGGTTTCTTGTCGATCAAATGAATCCATTGGTATCCATTGATTATCCATTGATCTGATATCCGTCCTGGGTGGTGTCTGCCACGAAGGCATCCATGGGCATGTTTTAAAGCAAATCAGGACTCAACCATAATTAGATTCGACACGGTGTCTTGCCATGCAGGAACCAGTTCAACTTGCTTTTGGGTTCATACGGACCAACGCTACACATGCGCAGATTAAAACAGACTACTCAGCTGGTGCCCCAGGATCATAACCAGACCCAAAATGCTAACCAGTTTGGCATAAGTCAATTGTGCGATAGGACAAAGCATTTGAGTACTGATGTAGACCATCCATCAATCAATTGATATTGTATTTGAATTTGAAAGTTATTTATCCATGAGAAAATAAACATCTTGTGATCCAAGTGTTCAACAGGACCAGTTGACAAGTTGACCCATCCGAACCTTGATGAAGCGTACGAGGCATCTGATGCACATCTTGGGTTTGCGTTGGGGTTTGGGCAGCCCAGTGAGGATTCGGACTGGGCAGCCCAGCTGGATGAATTCCATCATAACCTCAGGTAGTGACGTCACTGGAATGATGGTTAGTATATAATATACTAACATATGATGACAGCTATTTTCATATGTTTTCAGGTTAGTGAATTAGTATACTGATAGTTATACTCTAATTCAGCCAGATGGATTGTTTTAGGATCTGTCCAATAGTGGGGATTCGGGATTTTGATGAATGCAATGAGAATAGGGACGTACCAAAACAAAGTGATTCCTCTGATTTGAGCTATTTGCAGAACCCTGTGGTAATCACACATGGTTTGCCGGAAAACCCACTATTTACTTCGATGAGTTTCCCATAATGTCATCCTAGGATAGAATATGGAATGTTCAAAGATGTTCCCATCTTCGTGATGACCTGAATGTTAAGCATTCTATATATTTCATATTCTTTCATAATATTCGATCATATTCTATCTACTCCAGGATGACCTTATCTATTCTCTATATCCATGGCCGCCAGCCGGCACTGCCTGCTTTCTACCTCGGCTCCGAGGTCAAGAATTTGAAAATGCCGAAGAGGTGGATCCTGATTTGGGCGTTGAAAGCTGGGGATGAAAAACTATCAATCAACCATCATGTTGGATCCTGAGTGTCCAAGGCCCCCAAAAAGGGTCGGAAAATGGCCCGGATTTTGGGGGAACTAGATCCCATATGCGAACCATGGTGCTGGTTTATTTACCTACAATATCCTACAATCCTATACGTAAGTGGGTGATTTTGTTCGGGCAAATGTTGGTAAATATTCCAGCACCATGGAGCATATGGGTATGGGAATATCATAGGAATTTATGGGAGTATCATGGGAATATCCCACATCAATGATATTACCAGCTGGGGATTTCATAAATGTGAACTGCATGGGAATATCATTTGGGATATATGAATATGGCATCTTAACTTCTAGGCATTGAATCAAATGGAACTTCATGGGAATATCATGTGGGATCTGTTAAACCAACCTTTGTCAAGCGATGTTAATAATTTTCAAACTATTTGTTTGTTGATTCCAAAAGCTGTGAAGTCAACAGCAGGCTTCAATGAAAAGGAGAACTCCCTAGCTGCCTCGCCCTGGTGCTTCAGGCCCAGGCGCAGCAAGTGGCAAGTACCGTGGAGATTCCTCGGTGTGTTCTTTGCTTCTGGTTTCCTTCTCCTTGCAACGAAGGACCCATACCTGCCATTGGGGTTTGGAGGGCCATCTGCAAGGTCCCCTGCAAGGTCCCCTGCAAGGTCCAAGGGGATCAAAATGGACGGCAGTCGCTGGCTATTCAGCATCCGACTGCGAGTGCTTTCTTGCAGCCCCAAGCAAAATGAACACATAGGCCTTGCAGGCCTGCACCCACCGGGAAAGATTCGGATAAAATTTTGACTGCCATTGTTTTCTGTTTGAAATTAATTTGCAACTCAGGGATATGGGTTGGTCTGACATGGTTTATCAGGCATTTTCCCAATCAATATGACCATATCTGAGCATTTTGATGGATCCCCAGCTGGTACGAGTATTTTATCTTCTTCCATTTGTTTTAATCTTGTTAATCTTGTGCAGTTATGGCCCGAAATACCAATTATAAATGGTGAAATAACTTGTTATTTCCATAGGATTATACATTCCATAAATGGGGTTTTGTTAGTTTTCCATTGTAACTGGTATTTCGGACCATAACTGTGGTCACGTTTTTTTTTCCAACGTTGAGACGTTTTTTTTTTCCAGGCTTCACAGCTTCTCCATGAGGGAAGCTGGACGTGGTGGTTGTGCTGCCGTGCCAGTGTTGGCTGCTGACCACTTCAATGACTCTGTCTTAAACTAGGTCAATCTTAGATGGGTAGAAACTAATCCTTTAGTCTTTTGGTATGTCATTATCTACGCTCACCAGCTACAGTACTTTTTTTTGCAGGGTATCTAAGATTGGCACTGTAAACCAGCAAACGATTAGTTATATCAATATCCAAATGCATCCATTTGGGCAAATTATAACGACCTCACTGCGACCTCACTGGTTAATAAGAGGAATCATCCCAAAACTCGTTGCATAAGGCGAAAGAAAGGCCATATTTCAGGTTAGTGATTTGCTATAATTTACCCAGATCCATGTTCTAATCAGTTACAAAGTTATGGAAACTGTTGGTGAGTGACAACTGCGTATTGCGAAAGTCGCTGAGTCCACTTGCAAACGAAATATAGCGCACCAAGTTTAATCAGGTACCGTGCTGTTTTATATCATATTATATTAGATTATATTATATTAAACTATGTTATGTTATAGTTTATTATATTGATTTATGTTATTTTATTTTAGTTTAGTTTATTTATATATATATATATCCATCACATTAATCGTGTGGAATGTTCTGCCTTTCCCTTCCGCAATCAAACATGGCTGGCTCGGAAATCTCCAAACTAAATGAAGATGCTTAATGGGGTAAAACATCTATCGATCGGGTATTTTCCAGCAAGCCCTGCTTGTACCCCGGAGGGTAACCGTCATCTATTCTGTTTGAAGCCCATTAAGTCTTTATTGGATCGTTTATGGGGTTGAACTATCATACATTATAATTAATAACGATTCCCATTGTGTAATCATCATTAAATCCCATGAAATTATATTATTCCATGGTTACATCCCTCTTAAATCCCATTCAAATGCCATTAAATCACAGTTTCATCCCAGCTAAATCACAGTTAAATCCCACTAAATCACCTTAGATCCCAGTTAAAAACCCATTAAATCCCATTAAGCAGCTATTAAATCCCGTTAAATCCCTATTGTTGATGCTCAGTTTCAAAAAATCGTGCGACTTCGTTGGGTTTCCAGCAGGTGGCCGACCTTCGGTATCAGTCGGGACATCCAGGGGCCAGATTGACATGGATTGACGTGGGGGATGGAAATCCTCAATGCATCCCAATGCCAGGTATGTATGATGGTTAATGATGGTTAATTTATATATAATGGTTAATGATGGTTAATGATGGTTAATGATGGCTTAGATGATGTAACCCATAGAAATAGATGATATACAAGGTGGTGCCCCAGTTCGCTAGCTAAGTTGGTGAGCATAAGTCCAATTTCACTAGGGTTGATGAATGGGGGTTATATCGAACTAGTATTCATGGGGATTGTAAACCAACAAGCATAACTATGGGGGCACCACCTTGTTTATATATATATATATAAATGGGATATGATGATGTACCTATTGATACATAGATGATGTAACCCATAGAAATATCCGGCTATCCCACTTTTACCCTCTGGTTTCCTGACTCACAGAAATTGCGAACTGGAAAATGATGTGAAAAATGGCTATCCCCATAAAAAACAGATGGGTAATCACTTAAAATGGGATATGATGATGTACCTATTGACAGATAGATGATGTAACCCATGGAAATAGATGATATACCTATTAAAAGGGTGATTTTCCATAGTTTTTTCCCAATGATTTCGTGGATTTCCCCATGATTTAATGTGATTACCTATGGGATTATATGGGATTATACGGATAAGCTAGCTATAATATGATAGAATGTGGGTAAAACAATGTCATGTTTACCATCCCCCAGTCATCACCATTTTTATAGGTGGTCTGGTTACCATTCCCAAATGGGTGGTTTATGGCCTTGTTTTACCCACATTATATATATATATTGGAAGAGACTCAATTATATAGATCTGGAAGACTTAGCTACTTGGGTTTGAAGATGGGTATGATATAATCCCTTCCCCCTACTAAACCGTCCCCCACTCCCCCAAAGTAATCAACACCTGGAGGAGTTTTTAGAATTAGGGGGGATTTAGTATTAGAGTGCGAAGCTTCCCCCTTAATACTAAATAAAAAATCCATAATATAAAAAACGTTTTTTCCCGATCCTAAAAGACGGGTCCTAATTAAAAAAAACTTCCCGTTGACTGGTTTTGATCATTAGGGGGTGAAACCCTCAAATGGGACCTTCATTTTTTTTTCTGAAAGGGAGGTCAATGAAAAAAACAAATTGGCCAGTCTGAAATTTCCCAAAATTTAACGCGGACCCTAGTATTTAGTATTTAGTATTTGGGGTACGCTTAGTAAAAAGGGTGTAGGGGTTTATTAACCAACAATCTACAGGATTGCTCCAATCCATTATAGGTAAATTAGAGCCAGAAGGAGGGGGGAAGTAGTCATGTTATTTCTTTATCTACCCAGTTTCCCCCCCAAACGTATCTTGGGTGTTGGGAGCAACCTTGAATAATTCATGGAGTCGAGGGGGGGGGGGGGGGGGGGGGGGGGTCTGGATAAGCTTGGATAAGCCATGGATAAGCAAGGATTATCATTTTCAGAAAAAAAGGTGAATCTCGGGGTGTTCATTGAAAGCCTGGGAGAGTGATTTGACCTGGATTTTGGGGTGGGGGTTGGGTGGTTAAGGGCTTAATAAGGGCTTAATAAGGGCTTAATAAGGGCTTAACAAGGGCTTAAATGATAAGCATTGGATAAGCCTGGATAAGCCAGTTTTTGCAACCTATTTCAGAAGGCCCCCCCCCCGAAAAGACCCCTCAGGACCCCAGATCCCCAAAATTGCCAAAATTGAGGAAAAATCCTGAACACGCATCGCAAGCACTGGAAAAATCTCAATTTCCTTTTTTCGGGGTTGTGGCTCAAATCACCCATTGCTTTGGATAAGCAATGGACAAGGAAGTTCAGCTATCCATGGGGAATAAGACCTTAATAAGGCCTTAAAGGATAACCCCTGAATGAGCCTTAATAAGCCCTTAATAAGGCTTAATAAGACCTTAATAGGTCCTTAATATGGGTTTATCATGTCCCAGCCTTATCAGGAGCTTAAATGATAAGCTCAGACCCTCCCCCCCCAGCCCCCCCTCCTCGATTCCATGAATAATATTAGTAAAGCAATAATCGTAGTTATATAAACCAACCATATGGATTGATTGGTTTATGCCACCCATACAAAATGGTAAATTTGGAGGTGGTTTATTATTCCTTTACTACGTTGCCGGGTATATATCCAACAAAAAAAGAGTCTAAGTAGATATACATGTGTGCCAAGTCAAAAGTTGCTTCAATCCACTATCATGGGCATTATTTACCCATGGTATATTTTTCGCACTGATGGTTGGATTACGGAAATAAGTTATGTTAATCAATGATATTATATATTATAGAATCATAGTAAAATAATGGTTTACCATGGTTTTAATCATGCTTTATTGTATATAATAACATGGTTTTGACTATGGCACATTTGGATCATTAGCTACTGTAAGAAAACCAGCCACGTTGTGGTTTTCAGAACGATTCATCACATGCTCGGGGATTTTTATGGATTCATACCATGGTTAATTAGCTATAGCTGGTTTACAAACGTTCCATTACCTATGTATAGCTGGTGTTTGATCTATAACTGGTTGGTGGTGACTGGAACATGAATTGATTATTTTCCTTGTTTAATCACCATTAATATCTATGAACCATGGTTGGTATACCGATGATATACTGGTTGGTGCTTTGGAACATGAATGGATTATGACTTTCCATGTGTTTTGGGAATGTCAATCCATCCCAACTGACGAACTCACTCCATGATTTTTCAGAGGGGCAGGTGGCTCAACCACCAACCAGCATAGCATAGCATAGCCTAGCATAGCATAGCATAGCCTTTTTTTCACACCCAAATCTCAAAGCAACGGCTTCGAAGATGGCTAGACTTCAACCAGCCTTCTTGGATGATTAAGTTGCTGCTTTTCATTCCCATATGTTTGCCATATGTTTGCGCCACATATCAGCATATCAGCACGGTGTCCATCCCATGGTTTTTTGCCATGGCTATTCTTCTGGTAAAATCTCCAGATTTCACCATATGTTTGCCATATGTCTCCATGGACAACGCTCCGTTCTCGAGCCTGGAGTTTTCCGTTGTCTGAACAGCGGAGAAGTTTTACATGGGAACACCCAGCTGGCTAATTTGGAACCTCCACGAATGCTGTACTTTCAGGTGGGTTGCTTGACCGAATTTCGCCGCATACAAAACATTTTTCAGAGCAGTCGACGCAACCGTGTACTGACACGGCAAGAGGAGACCCAAGTCAACCTCCTGTCTTCAAGGCAAGTTTTCAGCTACCTAGCCACGGCTCTTACTAAGGCATGCTTGGAGTGCAGAAAGTGCCGTGACCGCAGCAAACACCGCAAAGAGGCAGGAGTGAATTATTGGTGATGATTCTTTCCAATTCATCAGCCAGATCTCATCACGCGCCCCCTCGCGCCAGATGCTGGTGAAAGCACTTGCAAGTCAGGACGTGTAGCCGTGTGTCCTGTCGCCTGTTTGGGCACTATGTTCCGGTCTTCAGAGCCAGCAAACCCAGCGGCCCAGCTCTCCATGCAGTCTACGATCAACGACAACTTAGAGGCTCGAATCGCCTACTTGGAAAACGCCCTGGCATTCCTCATTTCAAGACATCTAAAATTGTGAGTTAGTCAAGTCGCTTGTATATCTCATCACTAAAGAACCAAACACAAAAAACATCATTTGGATCCCAACATTTGTTGCTGAAATCCACTTCCCCAAAAAATGGTTGCATCCATGGAAAAAAACTACGGACATCTTCTCTGCACTAGTCACGTTTTCTGTTGCCTGAGGCGTGTCATGATCTTTGCCGATCAAGACTTGGATGGGCACCACATTGCAGGTGACGGAGAAGTGGCCGCGGTGGCATTGGAGGTTTTTGGGGATAGAAATATGGGTATGTCTGAAACTGGTGCATAATTATATATCATGATCCCGTACCGCGAATATTGAACATTCCTTAAACATGTGTAAATCTTTACTAGACAATGGTTTCTGGGATGTGTTTAATACTAGGAAAGGACCAGTGTCTACCCGGATGAACAAAGCCCTGGGCTATTTAATTGTGGGGGTACCAGTTTAGTAGCAGATGAATTCACTATTGGAGGGGGCTACCCTTGAGAAGGATTGGTGTAATTTCCCATTGCCATCACCCTTTCAGTAGGGATTAATGTGCCCATCAAAGAGAATCTCTAGTGATGGCGGGATGCCGATACCCCATCATAAGTCATATATCATGGACCATGGCACATGCGTGTCTGAACATTTGGTGTCCATAAAAAGTGTGCATATACTTATATAATTGTATGGGATAAATAATCATAATACGGTCAAATACCATGAAATTTTGGTATAGAACCTGTTTCAGACAATTCCACATAGCTTCCATCTATGTTTGTGTGATTTTTTTATTTGAATTTCCATGGATGCCTGGAGGATCACAACTTTAGGTTGCGCATAACTTTCTCTGTTTTGAACAATGGCGGGGAGCCCGCTTGTTCTATCGACGTTCTGTTGGTAATTGAAAAACTCACAACTTACAAAGACATGTTTTCTGGTTGGTGGTGACTGGAACATTGGTTTAGTATGGGGTAATGATGATTAATGATGGTTAATAATCACTGGTTGTTGATGACTGTCCATCTAGTTGGGAATGTCAGTCCATCCCAACTGACGAACTCATATTTTTCAGAGGGGTAGGTGTACCACCAACGAGTTTTTGTTTATCAGGGTGAACTCAACGGCGTTCTTTTCTTCATGGCTTTATCCAATGGGGTCATTTGTATGTTCAGTGTTTCTCCGGATGTGACTTATATTACTTATATGTTGATAGAAGCCAGGATACCCCATTCCACCTGTTATCAACTTGCCCACCATTGAATGGTAAAATTTGCTTGGGGTATCCCCGCGAAGTTTCGGTCAAAACCTTGATCCCAGGATTTTTGCCAGTCTAGTGACCAATTTGGCATGTTGACCAGCAAATTGGGGTTGACCGGCAAATTGGGAATGATGTGTTTTTTTCTGACCGCCATGTGAGTTCCTGGTTCAAAATCTATTACCTGGCCCAAGAGCACCGCCGATTCTGCTGTTTTTGAGGTATTCATCAACCAAATTATTGGGGATTTATCTCACTGTGACGTTATTGATTGATGCTTCGCGGCAGTACCCAATCTGAAAATGTAGGTTTGAAAAATCAATATTCAGCAATTATTCATGGCCACATATATGTATATGTATATATATATACATATATAATTATTATATACTATATTATATACACATATTATATATATACCTATTTATTTATATATATATATATACGCATATATGTATATAATTATGTTTTTTGATAAAACAACTCCCCAATAATTTGAACGAAATTCAGACAGGGTATCCTCTCAGAGGTCTGGTGATCAATCTTTTGGCCACGCTTTGGCCTAGCTTGTTGAAGGCGAGATTTGAATGGCTGGGTAGACTGAGAAATCTCAGGTGTAGAAAACTCCGTGAAGTCTTCACATTGTTTGGGAAACAAAAAAACAGAAAAAAACATCACCAAAGCTCGATTTGGCAAGGTCTATGTTAATATACGAGGGAGGGCAACAGGATATAGGGAACCATTTTTCTTTGGGATTTCTGAAGGGGAAACGGACAAGAAATGGGGACAGCAGCCAACAACTACCTAGAAACTATCTTTGGAGCCATAGACATATGGCTATGATGATTCAACACGTTTTAACCAACAAAAACGACGGGTGTATGCTACCAACCACATGGTGGTACTGATGGGATACTTTTATGTAAATATATATAACTCAACGATTGATTGAATCGGGATGATATCCCTTTGTTTGTTGAGATGTTATTTCGATTTTTTTCCAATGGGACATTCAGCATGCCGGGGGAATCTATGATATCTGCACAGTCTATAAAACACATACTTTGTTTGAGGGTTGCTCAAGCTCATCAAATCATGTTCAGGAATGATTAAGTGCTATTGACTACTAAGCTGAATAAAGTGATGTCACTACTAGGCTGATTAAGTGTTGTACTTATAAATGATTTTTACTTACAACACTTAATCAACTTAGTAAGTTATATATATATATGTTATATTATATCGTTTATGTCAATTTAAAATGAACACTTATATCATTAACCATATAATAACCATATATTAACCGTATATTAACAGTATATTAACCAGATGACTAGCAACCCATTGTAATTCACTCTTCGTGTTGCTTCACCCCCCAAGGTGCAGCCCAACTTCTTGCAGCGCTTCGCCACTCCATTGGTGAAGGCCGTGGCGCCGTGGCGCGGGGGGCGCGGCGCCATGGAGAAGTGATGATTCGCTTGACAGAAACATCCCGAAGCAAACGGATAGCCTCTGGTAAACATACACAAACATACAAAAACTATGGACAATCTCCACTTTTTAAATAGTTAAATAGGTAAATCAACGAACTAAATGGTCCATTTTCCATAATGGATATGCTACGAATGGAAACGAGGTTTGGATTTCCATTGATTGGATAACTAAAACTAAGGTTTTCTCATCCATTTAGTTGGTTATGCTATCCTTGACCAAAACTAAGTTTGGAAAACTCAGGTTTGGATTTCCATTAAACTGGTCTTTGGAAAATCCTTCAGGTTGTTGCAATGGAAACGATAAGTACATAACCAGCAAAGGATGATTTGTGGAGTACCAAAGATTGACCATGTGAGAGGCATCAACTCTGAAAAGGAGGTTCGCTTCCATGGAAGGCTAGTGCCAATGGTCATTGATCCATAGGCCATACGCAGTTAATACATGGCAAATGTGAATTTATCGAAACAGATATCAGCAACAGTTGAATACTAGTATCATATTCTTTTTCGAAAAAAACATGTGGGAAGCAACCAATATCTTTGATATTGGTGAATCTTGCGGAAGAATTGCCGTGATTTTTCTTTTTGGTGGAACCCATTGATAGGAAGAGGAAATAGGATAGGACGGGGACAAGCCAACTGTCATATTGCTGTATAGTGGTTGTACCAACTAGAATGGACTTATAATGGGTCTGTCCAATAATATATTGGGACAACCACTATATTTGGAACAATAATTATTGTTGGATAGAGCCAACCGTTATAGAATTATAATGATTAAATATTCTAGTTGGGTCTGTCCAAAAATGGGCTCTGGGCCCTAAAATGATGACGAAGGTCAAGGTGATTTAGGCGAAGAGGATGAGGACAGCTTTTAATAAGAGCCTTGATCAAGGATGACTTGAGTTCTTGATAATAAAACCTTTTTTTTGCGAGGATCATAAGACTTGAGTTTAAGAATCCCAATGGTTTTTTTTCTCTTAAACCTCAAGTCTCACTCTGCAAGGCTCTCACTTTCTCTATCCAAGCCACCCTCTGCCCACTCTTTCCCAAACCCGCCCTTGATCCAACCTTCAGCCTGTGTCCATCACCCTCTATCTCCAAGGTCAAACCCCATTGCATCTTTCAGTAGACTTTTACCCCCAAATTCTCCGAGGGGGGACGACATGAAACAAGCCACCAACCCTCATCCAGCTGTAGCCTTTATACAGTGCATCCATCCTGGTGATTGATGATAGATGGTCCATTTATATATTATATGGTTTACCTAGTAAAAATGGTGATTTTCTATAGCAAATGATGATTGACCAAGGTGGCATAGCAAAGTTTACCCCATACGGATCACTCAGTCTCAATGAACTCTATACTCTTGGAGGCACAACTCGCAAGACTCAGGAGATGAACGGCTGAGTTAGACTGTTAGACGTCCCCCCGGTCACGGTGGAAGTCTTTGAAACTTGAAACTCCCCTGTTTTCAGACAAACCGACAAAACTATTTGGGAAACAGACTGGGCAGTTTCAAAATTGATTGGTTCAATCGCAGACACGGGATTAGTAGTACTTAGAAGCATTTTTCTGTTTTTCGGTACTTTGGAATAGACATGTGGTCGGAATGTGATCAATGGAATAGCTACGATTTAATTTACTTGATGTTGGAGTAACTTTGGAGTGCTTGTTCATTTTTGGTTTTATATTATATAATATGTATATATATTCATTTATTTTTTTCACCACTATCCACATTTAATTATATATATATGTATACATGCATGCGCACATATACAATCTACATATTTACATGTTTTATACTTACATGCTTACATGTACATATACACATTGGCTAACTAACCACATATAGTCGCCAAAAAAAACACATGTTGCAGTTAAGTTGCTACCACAACTTTACCGATATTGGACGCATTCGGACGAATTCTGCTGTTGTTTGCTTAAGTTTGGGTTGTCGTGTCTGCCCACATTGGTGATGCACGTAACGGTGATTATCCCCTTGGCGGATGTCGTTGCGGATGGTGGTCTCCAGTGTGAGATCCGAAGGAAGCAACGGATGGAATGACAACTGGAACTTAATCCATCATTGTGTGCATGGCCATCTTTATGTATAATCCAATATCAAGGTTGGTACCATGCAAATTACCATCAATCCGATCACCAATAGATTGGCTTTATGAAAAATTGAAACCGGAAGCCACTTTTTCTATCTTTTTCTGGGTTTGTTTGAAACTAGGGAGTCACCATTTTCCACAGTAAAAGCCATTGGGTGTATAAAGCCTAGTTTCAGGTACCAGCATAATTATAATGATAATTGGTTTTATATCCCATGTCATGGGACATATAAATGGACAACTTAACACGTTATCATAATGGGATAATGATATTGGATGCATCGGATATATCACAGATTCAAACAAACAACCATGTTTCTTTTCATGAGATAATAGTATGTATATATATATATGTATTATGAATTATAAACGTTTATTTATGCTACAAATTTGGATTGTCTATACCATAAAATGCTTAACCACAGTATCAACCATGGTTTATCATCAACCAGTATTAACCATAGTATAATAACCATTAATTTGGAGTGTTACCATATAATAATGGTTAACCATAGCCATAAAAGCCACACATCGGACACCATCCTCCAACGATCCCATGAGATTCGATGGCAGGTCTTTCCAAAATCGTCCACATCGGACACCACGTGGCCGGACCAGGCCTGTCCGCCGGTGATGTCAAGGGAGAGTTACTGTAGATGAGTTCAATCCATGGTTCCATGGTTAGATTTATGGATTTATGTTTACAATATATAGAAAAATCACCTGTAACTAATATAAAGTTTACATTTTTTACAGGTGATTTTAGTATGTACTGTATCCACACTGTATATATATATATAGAGATTTCCCTCCGGGGCGGACGTTTGCCCAAAGTTTATTTGGATTTATTAAGAATTGTGTTAGGTTTACTTTGAGTTGGTTTAGATTTTCTTTGGGGTTCGTTTAGGGTTTATTTATTTAATTAATGTTTGGTGTTCTTTTGGTTCTTTTAGGTTACACGGGGACTCGGGGCCCCTGATAATTTGCACATGTTTATACGTTGTACATGCGTCTCATACATTGATGCTGTTTTACATGAAGATGTGTTTCATTTTGTTCTTGTGACATGGAGATGTTCGACCAGGTCCTCTATGGTGGTTGATCTTCATTGAAGTGACATAGGTGTTGATACGCTGTGCACTTGTGGTGGTACGTGAGTTGATGTGTTTGCTTATGGTTCATGTACATGAAGTGACATAGGTGTTGATACGCTGTGCACTTGCGGTGGTACGTGAGTTGATATGTTTGCTTATGGTTCATGTACATGAAGTGACATAGGTGTTGATACGCTGTGCACTTGTGGTGGTACGTGAGTTGATGTGTTTGCTTATGGTTCATGTACATGAAGTGACATAGGTGTTGATACGCTGTGCACTTGCGGTGGTACGTGAGTTGATGTGTTTGCTTATGGTTCATGTACATGAAGTGACATAGGTGTTGATACGCTGTGCACTTGCGGTGGTACGTGAGTTGATTTGTTTGCTTATGGTTCATGTACATGAAGTGACATAGGTGTTGATACGCTGTGCACTTGTGGTGGTACGTGAGTTGATGTGTTTGCTTATGGTTCATGTACATGAAGTGACATAGGTGTTGATACGCTGTGCACTTGTGGTGGTACGTGAGTTCATTCAGCCGCTGCGTCTAGTTCGTCTTTTTCCTCACGTGTGGTGGCCAGCTTCCGTGGCAGTTCCATAGATTTGACCGATGCTGAGAAGCAGGAATTGGTTCAGTCTGCTGTGCCGACCTTTTGCCAAAAGCAGCTTCGATTCAAGTGGGTTGGATGCCCTTATCACAAAGAAACTTCTTTGCAGGTGCCTGTGATTCAATGTGGTGATCACAAAGGCAGTTTGGTTCTTCGGTGCTCAAACTTCTGGAAGAAAGATGACTGTAGTCAGCCCCGTTGCTTTTGGACATACCCTTTCCCTATGAAGCTGTTTCATTTGCTTCCAAAGCAGACTCGAGGTGAATATCAAGATATCAAGCATGTCTTGTTGCGAAACATGAGGCCACGTTGCATGTCACTGTGTTGGCAGCGCGAGAAAACCTTGCAGAGGGGTCCACGCCAGCATGTGTTCGTTGAAAGCAGTTGTTTGTACTAACGGGGAGTAATGTCACCTTTTCATATGTGATGCTTCTCGAAGATCTTCTTGAAGACATGCACACATACAAGACCGCATGCATTGAGGTTCGCAGTCGCTTCTTCTGCACGTCAAATTGATCATAAACATCATCAAATGAACAGCTACCCTTTTTATCTTACATTCCAAACTGACATGTCACATGTGGAAACTTTTGAACCAACAACGGAAGGTCATACTTGCATCGTTTCTCTTGTTGCATTTGATACGTAGATGGTTTGTTCTCTGCGGACGCAGCGGGCACAGTGTCCGTACGTGCACCTTGCCTGGTGCCGCTCTTCATAGAAACCTCTTGAAGTTGCACACTGCTCCTTCAAAGCAGGAAAGGAGACGACCTCCTCGCACTGGACAAGCGACTCCTAGAAAAGCAAAGTGGACCAATGCGAGCGAGTACAGTGGGAGACATGTGCAACTCAAAGGGTTTCATAAGTTTTCCTTTTCACTCCCTGCATGCACATCCCCTTTCTACGTTGGAAGCAAACGAAGCATACATTTCGATGTAATTTTCCAGCGCGCAGAAGAGATCTGCAGATCCGATGGCAGCTGGCCAGATCGTCGCAGTGCATGCCTTGGTTGAGAACAAGTTCCTTTTCAAACCAGTTCGTTGTGGACACTGTCAAAGAGGACACCTTAGCACCATCACTCGTTCCACTAAACGTGGATCCCATGTGGAATACAGGTGTACCCAGTGGGATTGCCCCAGACGTACTATATGCCTTGTCTTGCAGCTATGGCCTGCCTCCATCTTTGCGTCGCGGACTCACACCGTCACAAGTTCTCATGACACTGTGCATGTGGACCAATACGAAGACATCTCCTTGTCCAAGTGCTCTGCAAGTTGCAAAAGCCGGAGGCGCTGGTAGAACTGCTGTGGTGGAATTGTTGAAGCCGCTACAATCGGTTGAAGTTGCTACTGGCAAGACTTTGTGTGAAACAGAACGCCTTTCCTCCGAGGCAAGCGAATGAAACTACAACATACACTTCGATAGAATCTGTATCTTTTGAGCACTTTTTATATGTTTTTCATGTCACATTGGTCATTGACAACACTTTTAATTGCAAAATAAAACCAATACATTTTTCAATTCGACGTGACAAAACTCAACGCTGCTGGTAAAAATGGACGCAACTTTGTTGAGAAAATACCGGGTCAGAAAGGATTCGGTCACCTTCAAGGACCGGATCAAAGAGTGGAAAGTGAAACATCCAGGAAAGCTGCTGCCACCCTACTTTCTGTGCTACATTCGCGTGCTGGGAATGACACAACGTGGCACCAATCGCTTTTGCTTCGAGAAAGCTCCATTGAAACTTGTTCCCCGCGGCGCAAAGCCGCCTGTAGAAAGAGTGAGTGAAGTTTTGGCAAGCAAGTTGTTGACCAAAGTTCGAAAAAAATCTCACAGATGGATGTCTTAGCTGGGAAAGTGCCGCGAAAAATCTGCGACGGCCTTTGAAATTTGAACAGGTCAAACACTGTCGCTCTGAGTTCACTCGCAAAATGCGAGGAAAGAAGCAGCGAGGACAAAGTAAAGTTGCTGGAACGCAGCAAATTGATAAGCTGTGAACATGGTGCAAAGGCTTCATTTGTGGCCGTGTAAAGACACGCATCAATGGCCTGCCCAACCCACAGTTGTTCAGCCAAGCACTGGCCAAGCATATCAATATGTTCGGAGAAAGAACAATGTCGAGCGGTTGGCCACGGAACTGAAAAAATTAGGATAAAGACAACTCTTCTCAAAAAAATAAAGTTTTGGAAATGATGGGGTGCAGAATCCCCTGCAAATACCATTGAAAGTGTGTTTTGCCGCCCGTCCTCATGGCATTTCATGGCCATTTTCAAAGTAGCGATGTTCACAAAACACTGCGAGGGTTTGAAAAATCCATTGCACGCTGCTGCTAAAAATTTAGATTTTGTCAGGGGCCTCGAGCCCCCGCATTACCTTGTTTTAGGGTTTCAGGGTTTCAGGGTTAGTTCTGGTTGGTTCAGGGTTGGTTTAGGGTTTGTTTAGGGTTTATTTAAGGTTGGGTGGTTATTTGCGGATTCTCTGAAGGTTCCACGGTTCTCAAGGTCTTGGTTGGCAGCTCGAACCATTGCAAATTACAGAGATTATGTTCAAGACATGGTTCAAGAAATGATTTTGGCACCGTCTTAGGTAAGCGCCAAAAATGCAAGTGTCAGCCCCGTAGCGAGAGAGAGAGAGATATATATATGCACAGTGTGTTTATATATATGTGTGTGTGTTTATAATATATACATATAGATAGATATAGATAGATTTGCATAGATATAGGTATATAGATATAGATAGATCGATATAGATAGATATAGATAGATAGAGATATAGATATCGATTTAGATTTAGATTTAGATATATATATATAGATAGATAGATAGATAGACAGATAGATAGATAGAGATTAGACACATAGATAGAGATTAGACACATAGATAGATAGATAGCTAGCTAGCTAGCTAGCTAGATAGGTATGAATCTATTTAAATCGGTATATGTCCTATCCTTCAATCGATAAAAAAAGTTTTTTGGGGTGGAACGCTCGTGGATCGGCGAATCGGGACAGGAGTTCTTCTCTCAAGGCGACTTTGACGCCTGGCAGCGCGACGAAGGCAAACATTCAATGGGTTTTCATAGATATATGCTGGTTAACTTTAGGGTATAGGGTTGATATACACTATAGATGGGGATATAACTGGTATAACTACTTTATACTGTATATTTTATAGTTGATATACACCATAAATAGGGGATATACAACATAAATGGTGATATAACCTAGATAAAAACCAACCAAATCAAATATACAGGTTGTACCCTATGGATCTGTTGAGAAACCCATGGTGTTTTTCTTGGCATGAAATATGATGTTGTTCCTGTTTTTTGGTTTACATATCCATTGAACCCAATATCAAATACATTCAAATACCGTGCAAACAAAAGGTTCTAAATTTTGTGGTCCTATCTGAGTGGTATTGAATGTGATTCAATATCAGATGCAGATGGATGAGAATGAGATTCGTTTGCCAACTGAGCTAAAGGTGATTGAAGCATCAACATGGCGGATTGACCCACACTAAAGACATCAAAAAGATGCTTTGGGTGCCGAAATCGACATGGGCCATACGGCATGATCAGAATCGATTGGTTTTGGAGGGAACCCAAGGGTTTGTGCAGGAATCACTGGACAAGTCCTCGATTTGTAAACCCCATTAATTGATATTAATTACTAATTGATATATTATAAATAATACACATATATATATAGTTTCAAGTACCCTTAACCTTAGTTAACCAAGTTACGTTCACCAACTTAGCTATCGTTTGGGGGCACCAATCCTAATGGTACTGGTACAACCATGGGATTATGACAAGCCTAGTCCTGGTGATCAGTGAAAATGACAAGCACCAACCAATTGTCCTACAGGTAAATCACTAGGATGACGAGAATGACAAACCATATGGTTTGTCTTGACATGAGCGTTGAGAGTTGAGTCGTGGCGTCGCGGCATAGAGGCATCCCGACGAAGGCGAGCGCGAGCCCGAGCCGTAGTGCTCCTGATCTGCGCGCCCCAAAGACTGCAAACAGGCCACAGCTGTCACCTGGTGGGACATCAATTGCACCCTGGCAACTGTCCTTTTCGCCAGATAAAGGTTTCCCCACTCCACCCCCACAGCATCCGCAACAGGAGATGTCGTCGCCAATGACACCGTCACCGACGCCGCCCGAAGCCGAGACCCCACCACAACCAGGCTTGGGCACAGCCGAATCAAGCAAATGGGGCTTCACCTTTCAAGAAACCAAGAGCAAGGCGCAATCAATACAGGAACCTGTGGAGTCTTTGATTGACAAGTTGCACAAGGCTCAAGATGAAGATCAGGTACTGGATATCCTGTGGCCCCCGTGCCTGTTTCAAAACATGGGGACTTGCGAGGATATCTTTAACACAGTTCAGGCCCAACTTTCCGAGATATGGCAAGATACAAGAACAGACAGGGAAATTGCCTTGGATTCGGAATTCACACTTGCCACCCTATAAGCAGCCGAAGATGGTGCTGACGAGCTGGTTTCGCTTCCAAAGATGGACGCATCCTGATGAGGGGTTCGCAACGCGGTGATATGTATGAAAATAGTTTGTAAGTTTTCTAATTATTTTTTATAATGTGATCATGATTATATTAAGATCATATTATGAAAAAAAAATCTATGAACGTATTTTAAGATCATATTTTGATTATGGTGATCTCACCATGAGTTTTTGGATATAAGTGATATAAGCTTTATATCTATATCCATCATTCTATCCGGTGAATGGAGCTGCTAGGAGCTATGGTTCCATCCACGTTCCAAGTTTTGAATTGGGAGCCGGGGAGCTAGTAAGAGTTTCTCAATAACTTGATAGTTTGGGAGTGTTCGACTGCGTTTGGGTATACCCTCCCATGGCAATTTTGATACGCAAAATGAGAAGAACAAAACAATGCAACCAGAGATTACCTATTTTGAGAAAAACCGTGACAAACCCATGTTGGTTGATTAATTTTCTGTGACTCATCACATGCTGTATATATTTATGCTCAACCCTTCAGATTAGGATCACATCAGCCTTTGTCAAAACAGCAGGGGCAGACTGGACGAAACACTACCGTGCGAAGTACTACAAGGTGGGGGGAGAGGGAAAGGGCGCAGGTCATGGAATCTATGGAAGGGCCATGAGTTCTAGAAGAGTTGGTCTCCTAAGTTTCGTTTAGTGGAAGTTTAAAGTTGTTTTTTTTATTGTTTAATCAGGATAGCAATGATATGATCCTTGTGATCGGATAGTAATTGATTTACCCTTTGGTGCGATCAAACATGGCTAATTTGAACATCCTCTATAAATGGTGTTTTGATGGAAAACCATTGAATTAAATCGAAATGGAGGATTTTCCAGCAAACTGGAGGGTATCCAATTTCCAGAATGAGTTTTTTCCATATGCACTCAAATATGCGCTATACATGGTTACTGCACATGGCTATACTTTCAAGGTGAATAAGGGACCCTCCGAGATCAAGGAATCGATTCGGGGACGCTGCGTGACGGTTCATTCTCAGTGAATTCAAACTGCTTAGGAGTGAGATATGGCGTGTCACTTGTGGATGTGTTTCAACATATGTAGTTGCCAAATAGAGATAAATGATATCATATCGTCATACATCATCACAGAGTCGTCCAAATTTCGTAACAACATGCCAAACATGCACATAATCATCGAAAACTATCATGCTGGATTGGCTTTGGGATGTTTATGGAAGATCACCATGGTTGGTCAATCATTGAACTAAATGGCTCATTGCCTGCCATAGTCTATGGCTATGTTTGTTTGCTTGAGTGTATTTCTATGTATTTCTCCTGATTCAAAGGTAAGATTTGATACCTATTGATACTTAATAGTCAGGAACGCTGTTCAGTTTATATAATGCATTATAATGCTTAATTTTGATATCAGCAACTAAAACCACTCCTGAATAGCTGCGTGATGTTTCTAAATATTGCCGATTCTTTTCTTTTTACGCACTTGACCCTAGGATGGCAAGTTCACTTGACCGGTGTTCAAATGGGGTGAACACACAAATCAATAGTCTATAGAAGCTGTGGACACATGTGCTCATGACGTTGCTTAGTGAATGTAGTGCGGACAGATTATGGATGAAGGAGTTTGACCAACAATGAGCTGTTTTTGTGGTGTCTTTTGACATACAATCCACATTTAAAAATCTGATAATGCCAACACCGGATTAATAACCACCCCCCAGAAGGTAGGGGGGGTACCTTCTGACTGGTTTTCTTGACCACCCCTTAATAACAAGCAACTCTGAACCATAAAACTTTGGATATGGCTTGCATGAATTAGATCTTAATAGAATTCCATTGGATTTGTTAAAATTTCATGGATCAGAAAGGTGGTTGATTAACCAGGGCCAAACCCTGGTTATTATTAATGGGGGACATGGGCTCATGGGGGGCACCCTTTGGGAGCTATCCAAACTGATGATTTTTTCAAAATATTTTAATCAAAAATCGATCATTTGGGGAATAGTTGTTAATTGAAATTCTCAATGATCAACTTAAACCTTAAGCATAACAATGATGATAAAAAAATGTAAACATAAATGGAAATAAATAGAATTGGAAATAAAAATTGTTGGATAAAAAATTGATTTCAGCACTAGAGGTTTTTTAATCGGGGGTGTTTATTAATCCTGGGGGACCACCTGTTTTTAATTTGCTTTTTTGGGGGGGAGGAGGAGGTTGATTAATAACGGGATGTTGATTAATCCTGACTTGGCATTAGTTAGGTTTGTCTGAAAATATGTTACCCCCAAATCCCATGGCTTATCATCGCTGTTGCATCTTTGTTAACACTTATACAATTAAATTCCAGTCTGTTTTGGGGGGTCATCCCCCTATTTTCAGTCACATCCAAAAAAACATGTATGTTGCTTATATATCCCGATCATATACCCCGATCATACCCCTATCATGATTAGTTTAATCCTACTTGACATCGCAGGGCCTAGGCACTTCCACTCGAGCAGAGGCCTGCCTGGCTTGTCGAGGTTTCATAAGTCATAGGTCATGAGGGATTCCCAATAGCTGGAAGGTCTATTACTTGGAACATGCTTTGAATATGGATATAACTGGGGGTACCTACCCCATGACTTAGGAAATATCTGGCTCGGTTTCCCAAGTGTTTCATGGGAGTTGCTCCACATCAGCCGCCGTGGATGACCATGACTTTGTATTGAAACCTATGGTGACGACTGGGGATCACCCATTTCAGGAACTCCCGATATACTTGTGTAATACCCCAGAAAAGATCAGAGTTGAATGAAGTTAGAAAAACTACTGAAATAGCGGTAAATGACTTTGGGCATTTGTTCAGTTGTGAAATACTACTGGCATCTACTGGCAATACATGGCAATACCAACTTGTACCGGCACTGAAATAGAGATATAGTACTGTAATCATCAACTCGCCTTAGATCACAACCACCAATGACTCTATGGTCTGTAGCCCTGCCAGGTTAGGGAGGTTTGGTGGGTTTGGTGGTCGGTTGGTCACTCTGGAGTTAAGCCTAGTCACTGGCCTTGTCACGGATTTGCCGGGCTTTTGGCCCGAAAATGAACTCATATAGCATATATCTGTGTGAATGATTATGTGACCTAACGTCACGACTTCATTGGAAGGATGTGAACTATATGTGGTAACTATCGAAAATGTTGCTTTCAGGCAGAAGATCTTCACCTATGTGAATGGGTCATTTGTTGCTTTCAATGTTGAGGCCATCCATGCAGCATGCTTTTTGGTTTGTGTTGCAGCTTACCTGGTGCAAGCCCACACCAGAACAAACAGGAGAAAATGTGGACAGACGGACAGATGTGGTATGGTATACCTATCTCCTGTGGTCGGTCAATGTTGATTGCTCGGATTGTTCCACCTCTTGTTGACCCGGATTTTTGAAACGCTGATACGTCAATTCTTGGCAGCGTTAGTGGCTGATTTTGAAGTTGCTCCCCGTTTCCGGAGCAGTTGTTCGGCTGGATGGTAATCATTTTGTGGTATCACCATGAATCATTTGGGCCAAGGATCTAATTGGATATTCAAGGCCCATCCCCTACAAGTGGCATTGCAAAATTTCTTCAGATCTTGCAGGACATGTTGTATCCACCATTGGATGCCATCCGGGATGACAAATGCCTTGCCGGCCAGGCCTTGCAGTATTTCCAAGCGATGGACAAGCATGCTGGGAGCGCCCAGCGGTGGTGGTTTCATGGAAGTCTCCAGTTCATGGGGGTGTACCCGATTTTCAGACAACACCAATCTTGAGGAGTGTATATATATATATAGTATGTATATATATATATAGTACATATATAAATATTTTCTTCTTTATATATATATACTACATACTAAATATATGCTATATATATATATAGTCAGTATATATATTTACTATATATATACTATATATTTATACACTTTGTATTTTTATACTATATTATATATATATTATATTATATATATACTATTTATTTAGTGTATATATACTATTTACATATACTATATATAATAACCCTATTTTATATATACACTATATATTTATATACTTTTTATATTTTCACAATATTCACATACACACTATATATATACATACTATATATATTTTTATATAAACGCTATTTATATATACACTATGTATATATATGTATTTATGTACAATACATGTTTATATATACATTTCATTTATTTACATACACTATATATGTACATATATATTAATATAATATGATTTAATTTAATTTAATATGATTTAATTTAATTTAATATAATATGATTTAATTTAATATGTTTTTATTTAATTTAATATAATATGATTTAATTTAATTTAATATAATATGATTTAATTTTATTTAATATAATATGATTTAATTTAATATAATTTAATTTAATATGATTATAAATAATATTATTTAATCTAAAATTATATTATGTATATATTCATTTTAGTTCCCCAAGAATCCGGGCCATGTTCCGACCCCCAAAGGGGTCCTTGGACACGAAGGATTGAAAGGGCCTTTCGGGATTCATGAGTCCATCTCTTGAAACTGCTGATGAATCCAGGTCCTAAGCCATTCCCTTTGGACTTCACAGGTGTCTTAGACTTCAACTTGGCAAATGATTCTGATATAAAAAAAGTTAACATCAATGAAGGCGAGCTCTAATATAACTATCATAATCTATTATACATGTTTATTATTCAGAAGAATAAGACAGATAACCAAAGAAACATCAAGAGACAGCTTTTTCATAACTGGTTTTATCATAAAAGATAATCATAAAGACAACTAACTAACAATAACGACGATAAAATAACTGGTTATCTGCCTGGTGATGGGAAAACGGTCCTTGAGGTCATCCAGGTGGAGTTCGAAGGAGCCAAGGACATGGAAGCCCTGGAGAAAGCCTTTGAGTCGCTTGGTTTTTGAAAAAACACCTTTGGGAACCATTGAACATCATCTTACTTGTGCCTAGCAGGCAATGAGGGAATGATCCACAATAACTATCAATACTCATCCCAGCAACCCCCAGCAACCCATCCATTCCCTACGTTTAGCACCAGTAAGTCATTGAAGATACATGAACACACGATCCAAAAATCTAGATTCATATAGATTTATCTAGTTTTTTATGATGGGTATTTGACCATCATTTCTCGTGCTTATCAACTAGTTGTAACTATGAAAAAAATATGAATATATATAAATATAGTTGATAGATATAGTTGATAATAAATGATTCAAATGATGGTTGACGCGGATTTAATCGAAATGTGGCTGACTCTAATTGAAAGTCTGAAAGCACATTTTTGATGGGCTTTCGTGCTAGCTCAAATCATGTTACTGGACCGTCTCAAATTACTTGAGCCCCTAACATGTCGCGGAGGTGGTGGCAAAATGTGCTACAATATCTGAAAGTAGTGATGTGCGCGCTTGTTGAAAGGGCACCGTGCTAGCTAAATCCCCTATGCCGGCTGGAAAAAATATCTTTTTGAGCTAGATGGGCTCGCTTGAGCTGATGGGGGAATGGAAAGATAGAAAGTTGATATCATACACCAGTAAAACCCCAGTTACACATAGCTACACCTCAGTTATCATGGAAGTCGAACGATGCTGAGAAGTCCAGTCTTGGCATACCCTATGCTTCTGAAATCAATTTGAATGCGAAGACGGATGGATGTCGAACCCTCATCAACCAACACCCTGCACGAAGTTGGTTGAAATCCTTGACGGAGATGTGACAACAAGCGACATCAAATTGACTTGCTTGGGTGGTGCCGAAGTGGAGCACTTTGACCACCTGTGGGGTTACTTCTCTCACAATTACATCCTAGGTCGCCTTTTCGGTTTCCGGCCGTGTCATGCCGAGGCCCAATCGAACCGATGATCGAAAGGAGTGGATCAAGGACTATGATCCCACCGAGGACTGTGGGCCGAAGGCATCATTTTCATCCGCTGAAAGGTTGCCCATAGTGTTTCCAAAGAATGTTGGATCATCATATATGGGTAATATCATAGTACTCCATGTATATCCTAAGGTTCTCGTACCCAATATGTAATATGATGTAGTCGCAAATTGTAGTGTGGATCAACAATGTTGGGTTAACTGAGGCTTATCTGGGTCGCTACTTAAGTACTGATTTATCTCGGCTTCCTGTTTGCGTCGCCGTCACTAGCCAGCTCTGTAGGAGTTGGACTACTCCCAAGATGCCACAAACTTTGAGGACTTCTTTGATAAGTCGTCACTGGGTGAACGTAATTTCTGTCGCCACGTCAGTGGGGGAAGTTAGACAGAATGAAATTGAGACACAATTCGCGCACGCCAGGACTTGTAAATGTACTATATAAATCATCTAACTGGTTGGTGGTTTGGAACATTTGGATTATTTTTCCATATATTGGGAAGAATAATCCCAACTGACTTTCATATTTTTCAAAGGTGTAGGTATACCGCCAACCAGATAACATCATCTAAGATCTGATGTGATAAACCGCCGTCATCCCAGAGGTTTCTGAAGTCGGCGATACTCAACTGGGGTCCCAAATGACACCATTGCTTTGATCCTGGTCGTTAACACATGTTTCCATTCATATGAACCAAATGGATCTAAGTGGACGCTCATGTTTCAAGTATGTGTACTATATATATATACATAAAAAGAGGATAACAGCAACCAGTCACATGTCATCTCTGCGATGGTCCACGGTCATATCCCCATGTTTGTAGCTCCAAAGGTCGTGTTGGTAGGTCGAACAAGCCAAGAGTAAACGTGTTTCTTTTGTATCACTATCAGTTGTGTCTTTGTAATATATATATATAGTATGTAGATTGTAAATTTATATATATATATATATATGTATTTCTTTTGTATACATATATGATATATACATATGTGTATGTGTATGTACATATATGATATATACATATATGTATGTGTATGTATGTATGTATGTATGTATATATATATATATATATACACACACCGTGTACTTGCAGACAGGTCCTGAACATAGGAAGTCAACCCCCTAAATCAGACTCCAGTCAGCCATGGAAATTCGATCAAACATATCCCCTTAGCCCGAAATTATGTCCCTGAAAACAGCCATAAATTTGGGATTGTATGAGATTATAACTCCTGTGAAAGACCAGAATGGTTTCCATGTCGGTGGACTGCATATTGATGGAAGCGCTTGAAAACTGTTTCGCAGACACAAAATGTGCGCTGGTCATGTTGGCCATGTGTGATCAGGCATCCAAGAGCAACCTGGAGTGGAATAGTGGGAATATGTGTTTCAATGGCACCACGAAGAGATGGCATTTCATCCATTTGGAGACTTTCACTGCAAGGTCGATGCTATTCGAGCAGGCTGCTCACAGAGCGTCAAAGCGGCAATTGCAGGACATCAAGACGATGTTGCAAGGACATCATCGCCCAGCATACACGGAGTGGACATCGATGTTGGAAGTACAGATGCAGCACAAACACCACTCGGGCATCGAGCTGCCAGCAGTTGCAAGAGCACTCGGAGTGGACTTGACGCCAATCCAGGCAAGGTCCTTTCTCTCTCACACACACAACTTTGCCATGCGCCCGTGCCACACACACACAACTTTGTCTCACACAACTTTCACACACGTCACGACTCTTTCACATACAACTCTTGAAAACCATCGATCCTCCACCGTTTCCTTTGTCTTTCCTGCCTTCTCCGTACCGCTTCAACCAGTGTTTGTGATTATTGGAAAAAGCTGACTTGTGGGTTATCTGGTCCTTGATTCTGTACAGTGATGGCCCGAAATACCAGTTATAAATTAGCTTATAGTGATATTTCTAACCAACTAGTTATAGGAGTTATAACTCCATGGTTATCAACCAGTTACCAACCATGATTATTGTTAACAATAGTCACTATATTATATAATATGTTAATATCATGTATTAACAAGGGCCATAACTCTAAGCTTTTGATATCCCGAGGTTCCTCCATTTCAGCGCTTATGACAACGTCCGTTCCATTCCAAAGCTGATGGATGGGCGCCTTGGCCATAGTCGTTTGGTGGTTCAACATGGGACTATGCATGACTATTAGCCATTGTAGACATGAATATTTACACCATTTTTCACATTTATTTGACAAGCAAATATATATATATATAGAGAGAGAGAAAGAGAGAGACTATTCAGGTTTCAAAAACGGTTTTGGATTCCTCACACGCCATGGGGAATTTTAAGCGGACCAGGGTCGCCTTTTGGCTAAGGATATCCCACGTTTGGGATGATCCTAATATGATGTGCAAAACATTTCAAGGAAAAACATGAACAAAAACACTCACTGCTGAGTAGAGTGATGGTTGGACTCTGCAGTTTTGCGTTTCGACTCATGCCCCATGCATAAAAATGACGTCTCTGCTGAGAAGCTGCATCTGGCCGTGGGCCTTGATGGGGGTAGCACCAACTCACCGATCCATGACTGCTTTCATTTATAACTGCGGGGGGTCCCCTTTCTGTCTAGTTGGTTTTTAAAACTTATCCAACTAGATGGATATATCTACCCATATCTACCAACATCTACCAATATCTACCATATACCGATATACCCAACTTATCAAAGATAAACCAACTATAGAATCACTGTTGCTATAAGATAACAATACTCTATCGGGAACATCCACCGTTTCTTAGCGAAACTGCTGGCGCCACCACTGCTGCGCCCACAGGCTGAAGCCTTCGCAGCGCAAAGTGCTGTACTGGGCCATACGACAACTCAAAACCGAGTCGGCTTCGCCCAGTTCTGCGGTTGCTGGATTGGTGCTTTCAGCCAAAAATATGGGGGAGATCAAACGAACATCACCCAACAATCATATACAATGTGGATATATTGGGATGATAACCCTAACTGCGTTCTTTTTGCAATGGGGAAACGCCAACAACCGGCATCAAGCCAAATGTTTGCACCAAGTGTTTGCAAAAGGTTTTTTTTCCAGAGAAAGGGGGCTTCAAACACCAACCATTAAAGACGTGACCCAATACAGATCGAGGTTTAGTTAACAAGAATACTAGTAATTACTGATTCAAGCACCAAAATGGACATGTTCAGGCATGCATATTTCAATCACCCTGTAAAACCATGGAAGGGATACTAATTTGTGATGGTTGTGTTTATGTACTACAAGACTACAAGTACGTTGAGCAAATTTGAAAACTTCCCTTATATCTTTATATAGTGGTTTCCTAAGTCATAGGGGTACCCCCAGTTATCATCCATGTCTAGATGGGATTTTCCATGAAAGAACCAATCCATTTCTGGAAACCCCTATATCTTGAAATTCGTTGAATGGCCACCAGCCACCTGGACTTGAGGAATTGAATCAACCCCAAAGGTGACACATTTCCAATGATAGCAGGGTTAAAACGCCCCTATTAAACCTTATTACTACCTCAATGATACAATCTGGGCCCCCTTATATAGCTAAGTTGGTTTATAACTCACATAAATCTGGTTTATGAATGTTTATGATACATAAAACTGTAGTTAATAAGGCTTATAAACCAACTTATAACTGGTGGGCCCCAAATTGTAATTACTTATTAGCATTTATTAGCTATTGTTGGTGGTCAAATACGAACAACATATAAATCTAGACATGTTTGGTGGGATTACCTTTTGATATTTTGGGGGTTGAATCCCCATGTATCCAACTTTTTACGGATGATTTGCCCATGTACTCGTAGCATTTGTACCATTTGGACACGGACAAGAACCATGAATCTCCATAAATATCGGTTTAGGTCAAAGTTAGGTACCTCCAAAAATAGGATGATCATATCCAACATAGGCCCACAAGTGTCCCAAGAAAAAATTGTCCCATACACGTATGGATTATTTTCGGAACCCATTATTCCCTTATTCCCATATGATTGGGGGAATACACATTGATTGACAACCTGTTTTAGGGTACCTACAAGTTGGGGCCCAGTTATTTGTTGGTTTTTAAACCTCATTAACTACAGATAGCTACAGATATAGGTATCATAAACCATATTTATGTGAGTTATAAGCCAACTTAGCTATATAGGGGGCCCCACATTTTTGGGTCATAATTCCACTGCCCCCCAGGGTCCCTTTGACTCGTCTCGACTTAGGAAGAAGGTCTCCCAAATCACCGGCCTGGCTTGGCACCAAGAACTGGCAGTTTTAAGCAGCAACAATGGTGAAACATGGTGATTTAAGCAGAAAAAAGGGTATAAAACCAATGGAGTTGGGTGATGCATCTGAGGATATCTGAGGCCATGAGGCCACGGTCAGGTGTAGCTGGTGTAGCAAAAGGTCAGGTCCAGAGGATTTGTGATTCGGTAGCCACAGATGTTGGCATTTGTTTTGTGGTTTTGCCATCCCAATCTTGGACCAAACCTAAACCTTGGATTGTTTGTCTTGGAAAAACCATGAATCGGTGTAATTTCTATCAAAACTCGTTGGTTGTTTAAAATATGTTTGATGTTCCATCCTACCTGGAATGATGATCGCCGTTGACTAATATCTTTCAGACTGGTTGAAACCACCAACCAAAAACAATGTTGCTATTTCATCATGTTTCTTGACAATAGACATGAAAGAGTCACTCTCACTTGTGGTGGTATTAAAAAATGTCTTCACTTTTCTTTCTAGCAGGTACGATGATACAAACTTGCAAAAAATGTTGGATGAGTGGACACCACATTTAGTTTTGAAGACGACCAATTTGGTATCCAATAACATCGTCCAGTAGATGGGGGGTCGCAACCAGTGAAACTTAAATATTGGATTAAGCATATATAAATCTCAAAAATGTTATTGGGGTTACCATTAGGGTGAGCTGACTGAGTTGTGGCGCCCGAGAGCCCATATCAAGTGATGCTGTCACCAGAATTATCATTGGGCATATTATTGTCATGTTCGACCCCACCAACAATGATAATGACAATATTTCTTTAATATTTGGAAAACAATATTGCAATAAGTTTAATATTGTAATGATATTATCATACTATTATCAACATATTTTTAAAAATATTATGATAATATAACCATAATATATTATATCATTTAGTAATGTTTTTCGTATTATAATCAAATGATAATACTCTAATAACCTTTTGATTTTGATAATAGTACGGTAACAAAATTCAAATATGTGGAGGGCGGGCCAGACCACACGGCCCACGAGGTAGTATACACCAGTCCCATCCGTATGTTTAAATGTATGTTCAAAAAAGTTGGATTGCGTTGTTGCGTGTTTTTTTGCGAATTCATTGTCAGGGCTGTGTCAAGTGGTGGCAACTTGCCAATTGCGTGGCAGGCGTGGGACATCGTGAGAGTGTCATTTTGCGTGGCAGGCGTAGTATTTGAGACAATTTCGTGATTTCAATTGCCGCTTTCAGCACTGGCACGGCTGCGCGCGGTGTGATGTTTTCGTCTTTCGTGCCATTTTGCGTCGCAGGCGCAATGCTTGTTTATGCTGCAACTTGCCACTTAAGACGCGACCCTCTCCACTCCACCTTCCACACTTTCCACTATTACATTGAACATTTCACATGCCTCTCCACATTTTGCACTCCACACTTCGCACTCCGCTCTTTACAGTGCACAGTCGACATTCCACATCCGCAATCCACACTCTACAATCTACACTTTACACTCCGCACTTTATACTCCACATATTAACTCAACGCTCAACACTGTGCACTTCACACTTTACACTTTACACGTTGCACTCCACACTCTACACTTTACACTTTACACTCCACACGTTACACGTTGCACTCCACACTCTACACTTTACACTCTACACTTTACACTCTACACTTTACACTGCACACTTCAGATTTGACACTACAAACCAAACTCTACACTCTCTCCACTTCATTCACACTTCATACTCCACACTCTACACTCCACAATGTACACTTTACACTTTACACTCCGCACTCTACACCCTACACTTGACACTACACACTCTACACCCTCCACTGCACACTTTGCACTTGACACTCCACACTCTACACTTGACACTCCGCACTTTGCACTCCAAACTCTACACTTTACACTCCATACTTTATATACTTTACACTCCACACTTCACACTCCACAATCCCCACTTCACACTCTAGGCACTACATTCCCCACTTTATACTCTACTATCATGACACCCCATTCCATACTCCACAGTCTACACTGGTACGGTCACAGGGGAAGAATATAAGACTCTTCGAATAGTTTGTTTCACAAAAGTTATTTACGAGACTTCATTCGGGTTCGTTGGTTGGTCTTGTTCTTGAGTTCACAAAGGTAACATGTTTATTCGAGAAAGTTTCGCGAAAATTGGATATTATGAATCATTATTGTTATCATAGACTTCAACTTGCAAAGAGCTACCACCCCCTGCCGCCCACCCCCTGCCGCCCGGGGGTCTGGCAGGAGAAGGGTGCAGGAGAATTTGGGTTTAGAGTTTTTTCATGAGAAGGCATAATACCAAAATAATATAATATCAAACAAAAGCCTTCAAATACAGAAGTTTTTACAAACAGAAACAATTACACAGAAAAACCTTAACACAAAAATGGTTTTCACATGCAGAAATTTGAAGCAAACAACACTTTTTGAAGAGACGGTTTCACTTCAAATATATAAACATTTTTTTTTTTTTTTATACGCACACCTTTTTTGGAGGCAGCACTTCCGTACAGAGATGTTTTTTAAAACAGACCAATGTTTGCATACAAAAGTTTTTTCACAGAGCACATTTTAACCACACAGAGAAACATTTAAATACAAAAATGTTCCACTTAGACGCCTTCAACTTAAACAAAAACGTGGACGGGAAAACTCTTTCCACACATAAGTTGTTTCACACATACAGAAACCTTACGCCTTACACCTAATGTTTATACACCAACGCTTTTGTATACGGGTGTTTTACACGCAGCCGAGTTTCCAAAGGTCAGGCTTTGCCACAGCCAACTACCGTGGCCATGAAGCACACCCTTGGACCTGCCGCTGGTACGGCCTAACTAACTGTTGTTTTTGTTTCTTATTGATATACAGATAATATACATATTAATTTCATCACATTTATATATATATATACACAATCATCCTGAAGTAGATAGAATATGGGATTGTCAAAGATACTTTCATTTTAGTGGTGATGTTTTGAACTGTCCACATTCCATCTACTCGAGGATCACCATCAAAAAATGTGACATAATTTCTGAGACCTTGCGTGCCAAGAATATAAACCAAACCAACGGTGAGAAACTCTCGCCCAAGGTCTCGTCGGCAACCAGCTACCACCACGGTGAGCAGTCTTTGGTGAAGGCGCACCTGCATTCGTAGATAGGTCAACTGTTGAGTGAACCATTTGCTAACCAGTTCAGGAAATTTATTGCCTGTCGAAATTTACCATTGTATAGTACGTGCGTGGATAAATTGATATTACTTGTATTTGATTGATTGCCATGTTGCAGAGAAATATAGGCAAGACAACTGAAAAATCGTGTTGAAAAAATAGTTTTTTCTTTCAGAGTAACTCTCCAAGACAAACAATAATTAGCCACAAATGAGTGATGTGAAGCCGTCAAACAGAAAGAATGAGGAGGATATGGCGGATATGGGACCATGGGGGATACTGTATTCCGTGTAGCAAATGGGGAGACATCAGCCGAGAAATGGGCGCAGGATCAACGGCAAGTTGGGTTGTCGATTTGGGTCACCAGTACTGAAACAAAACAGGTCAGCAACAGCAACAAAGGTCAGACTTGGGTGCACGGTTCAAACAAAAAAGGTGTTCAGAAGGTGGATGAAAAACGATAAAAAGATAAAAAAAAACCTATATATATATATTGATGATAGATCCGACAAACATATATCATGTTGAGAATTCAGCATGATGTTCTGTTTCATTTGCCATTGATATCCCCAACAATGGGTGATATTGTACTCATGACGATCTTCTTCCCATCCTGGGGCATCCGCCGTATGGAGAATTTCTATGGTTTCCTTATTGGGAAAATGATGCTTCCATGGTCTCATGACCATTTTTTTGCGATCATTGTTATGAAAATCTTGCAACCTCCAATTGAGCGAAGTTAAAATACATATTATTTTGTGATTTGTTCATGTTCATTTGTTTTTTTTTCAAATATCATTATAGGTTCATTGCCAAAATGGGTTTTCATACGGATGATTTTCATTGTGATTTTCATTTGGTTTCATGGCATGTATCTTGTGCGCTAACAGTGCTTGCTGTGCTGCTCAGCCAAAATGTCTTGGACAAATGATGCGGTCCTTTTTGCAAACAAGAAACACTATTTTGAATGAAACTGTGAACACAAACAACAAACAGGAAACACACATAAGACAACATAACACGGCACTAGGACAATGACAAAATGAACAGGAAACAGACAACACTAAACAACAAATCAACATATTTGACAACATGAACATAAACATGAAAAACAAACAATTGAAAAAACATGTTTGACAACTACATGAACATGTTAATGGTTGTCATTTGTTTCTTGTTCATTTCAATTCTGGTTTTCATGTTTACATTGTTCTTTTCATTTTCATGTAGTGATAATTCTATTCAAAAAAACATGAACATGAAACAATGAAAACATGAATAACACCTTGATTTCCAGTTTAAGGCTGCCCAAATCTGCCCCCCAAAGTAAAATTATTGCAGGGTAAAGATGATTCCATGATATTTTCGTACCATTGTATTACACAAAAAAACTGTATTACCCCAAGTAAATCATGATTTCGTAGCTGTTCCCTACATGAAAACTCGCAGTCTCATGAACCGAAAGCTCTCGTTCCGCAAGTAGCAGGTCATTGTGAACCTGGCGCCTTGGCAGCGAGAAACACCTGGATTTTGAGAGGCGTTGGGATGTAGCCGGCCTGGTAAACGATACGAAAAATCCATGGAAGATCACCATGATGAATGGGTAAAGCAGCTATTTCGACTGGGCCATGTTCAATAGTTTTTTGTAACCAGAGGGTAACAGGAAAAAAACTGGGGAGCGGCGCACAATTGATAGAATTCAAGCTAGATTTAAGCAGCAAAAAATGGAGTTGATCCTAAAAAGAATGAGTTCAACTGGCAAAATGTGGGGAATTTACCCAAACATGGCCTTTCTGATGGGGGATGATATACCAACCATGCAATGGGCATGGGATTTTCACAACGATGTCTGTTTTTTTCGCACTTTGTGCAAAAGGATGATCACAGCATCCCAAGTTTACTCCCCTTGGAGGTGGCTAATAATTAGCCGCCCCCGGTTCAGTGATTTCGTGTTGGTTTTAGCCAATGTGCGGAGAATTTCGATAAATTTCGGGGAGAAAATGCTGGATCCATGTTTCAGAATAGCTTGAACTGAAGAGATTATAGATACATGGTATATGTGTATGTATAATTTTAGATGACCTGAACTTTGCGTCCTATACATTCTACACATACATGATTGATATATATATATATAGATATATGTTGTATATATATATATATTATCATATAATATGTATGTGTACCCACTTTCATCCTTAGGGACACTTGAAAAGGGTAGGAACTAAAGATCGAAATCTTATCCCCATACCTGGGCAAAGCGCAGAGGTTTGTCAGCTCTGCTGAGTTGGTGGGGTCAGTCATGGTCAGTCTTTTAGCAATTTGTAGCCATAAATGGACAGATACACCAAGAAAAAATCCAGGGAAATGTGTGTGTTTGATTTTTTTTGGTAGAGTTTTCTAGAGCATCTTGATAGATTTTCTTTGGAGGCAAAAAAAAACAGATTCGGAGCAGTTTTGCAAACAGCAAACAGATGGCACCTCCAGAAGTCGAGGACTTTGAGTCGCCGTGGCGTTTTTTGTCGGCCTGCCTCGTGAGTGCTTAGTTGGGTACCTTCAGGCAGTATATACTGGACCTTGGTTCATGTTTGTTCTGATTATTGATGATTGCATCATCGCTATTCCGTGGTCAATACAATACGATTTCTCATTAGATTCCTAGATGTATGTGATATTATTTATGCTTGGCAGTTACGTTTGTATTCATGAAGCCTTTTTTGAGCAACCATTGAAGATTAAAAAATGAGAGCTATAGCAGGAGAGTGCCAAGAGAAGAAGGTGGAAGATCTGCCTTAGGTACCAATCTTCGCCCATACCATACATAATTTTTACAACCCAAGATACCCTCTGGTAAACGTTTACAGTTTCCTATTGAACATGCCCATAGACATAGTGGATTTACCTATTAACAATAGTGATTTTCCATACATGGTGGATGAATATGATGAACCTCAATGAACCTCATGGATTCCGTCAACCACGAGGGTGACAAGGTGGGACGGACCCAGGCGCAAGACTTCGTTGGCACCAACAACCTGAACCTCTTTGAGCCGCTTGGAGCGGAATGGCCACGTTACGAATAGAAAAAGCCAGCTGGAATTTATTACAGGGGAATAGGTCCCAAACATCAACAATCTATGATAATCTATGATAATCTATGATACTATGGTAATTTGTTATTCAAATGATATACTGTTTCATATTGAAACCAACCAACATTGTTTGTGTTGACTTCCAGTTCAACATTGACAGCTTGAACGATCCTTGTAATGCGTTTGGAAAACCCATGGGATTTATGTCTTTCAATTCTGTTTAATGCATTATCTTCTACAGGCGGTAACGTCTGAGTCTGAATTGCAAGATTTTGTGGTGAATCAATTGCAGCACCAGCTACCCACAGCGCAGATACAGATAGAGCATGATATAATGTGGCCATCCCATCACAAAATATAAACCACGTGGTCTAAAATTACGCAATAGAATTACTGTGTAAAAAACACATGTTCTAACTTATACTGAGGTTGGTGGTTTGGAACAAATTTTACATTAATCAAAACTTATACACCTGTGTGCCAACTTATAGATATACATTAAAAATGAGGTCCTAGTTCCATTAAATCCACATCGCTGGTATAGTGCATTTCTGGGGAGAAATCCAATTTTTGATGGTGAACTCATGGTGAAACTCCCACGGGCTGTTGCGAAACCTTTCTACATGGGTTCGCAACACATAAATGAGTTCATCTAAACCCATCCAAATCTATCTATATCCATCCAAATCCATCCAACTCCATAGTATCCTCAGATTTTTATGTGTTTTCCCTGTTGTTGCTGCTGTTAAGCCCCCATGGAAAAATCTCTTCATGAAACCGAAACGCTTCGTTTCGCCAGGCCCATCGGTATGTTCGGCACCCGTCTCCATGGGCGCGATGTCCACGCCAGCGCGCGGTACATCAACACCAAGCTGTCGCCGTACCGCGGATCTTCGTGGCGGGGGATGGGCTTTTGTTACGGCCCGATTTACCATTTAGAAATGGTGGAACGAACTGGTTATTTCTATGGAATTATACATGAACCATGTCTATTTCTATGGGATCTTGTTAAGTTTTGTTAGTACTTACCCATAGGATCCATGTAATTATGGTATATATGGTAACATTTACCATCAATATATCCTCAATGTTAGCCTATATACCATACATGGATCCTATGGGTTATAACATCTTATAACTGGTATAACACGTATAACTCGGGCCATAACTCTATGGGAATGCAACCACTGGGATTTGATGGGAAACTGGACAACCACTGGGATTCACCCTGACATAAAGCCCGATTTGTATATGTGACCATGTTATTAACAATGTTAACGGGAACATACTTAGGTACTCACGATATCTATGATATTTATGATATGTACGATATCTATGATATTTATGATATTTATTATATAATATATATTATATACATGAATGATTGACCGGGTGAGCCTATTTTTCAGTTAAACAGCTGTTAGTTGATAACCAGATTCAATTTTGTTCTCACAAGCTGGCTCTAAGCCGGTTTCCTGTCACCGTTGTCCGCCCGGCAAACCGATGTTCTGAAACCACAGAAGTCACCCATTTTTAGACCCCTGTGCCCCTGTTCAGAGAATCGTCTATGCTGCAAACTGAGGTTGGTTCCTTACATCTTTCTGAAGGAAGACTTGGATTTATTGCCCCCACAGCTTGAGGAGCTCCAAACTGTTGCGAAGCGCCAGTTTGGTGCCCCACATTGTTGGGTGTCGATGAGCTATCCCATTTTTTGTGTCAAATGTGGACCATTGTGGACCTATATCCATCGTTATTTGATTGAAAACTACTGGTTGGTGGTTTCAAACATGTTTAATTTCCATTTCATATATATGGGATGTCATCCTTCCCATTGACGAGACTAGTATTTTTCAAGATGGGCACATGGCACCACCAACCAGACACTCGGCGAATGGCAGGAGGGAAACGAAATTGAGCCGTGCATGCTTTTGCCCATTTTTCCGTCCGGAATCTCGGTGCCTGGCTACTGAAGCTGGTGAATGGTTGCAGGAAACGGGTGAAAGAATCTCATGTCATCGCATGTCTTAACAGCATGTGGGGGTGGGTCAAAACCTATTAATACCATTTTTAGGGGAATGAACATCCATTTACCAGCTACATATTTTGATGTTCACCAGGGGTACAAGGTTTTGACACACTGCCATGTGGTGATGTTAATGTATGTTAATGTGCTATAATTCAATAAACCTAATAATTCGGGGATGGTTTATACCACCCAGTTATGGTGATATTGGATTTACCACATTGATGCCATTATGGCAATGTTGTGATTGGCAGAGTATTTCGGGTTGGCCATGGGGCTATGGATGGCCCTCCAGAAATGCTCCTGGTAATAGAGTGGGCAACTTCAAAGCCGACGGTGGATGCTGATGTTTCCGAGGCGCATGACATTGATGATGTGAATGTTGTGGGGGCACGCGGATTGATTTGATTGTGATGTTGCTGTTCATTCTTTTCAAGAGACATGCAATCTCGTAATGCACGCGGCTTATGGTACTTGGTCCGATTATCCAGCAATCATGTCCGATCTTTGATTGGCAACATGATTGTCTTGTATCTCTCATATGACTCCATGATTCTTGGTTATATAAATCATGGGGAACCACCACAGCCTTGTAGTCAAAACATCCAAAAGCATCAAATAGACCGTGATTTTCAACTAGTTTCATTATGGATTTGGGGCATGGCGGTGTCGAGGTTGGTGCTGGTGAACGGCTTCATTGGCATCGGCACCGGCTGGGCTACCCAAGGGCCCAACTTTGATGCACTGCAGGTGTGGGAGCTCAGCTCACGTCGTGACCGAACTGGTCAGGTTGGTGAAATCGATGGACATGTTATAATTTACCCAGAGAATATATCGGAAAACAGGGGGATAATCATTGGACAAAACTATATAGATATAGGGGATAATAGGGGAAAATAGTGGATAAACATCATTGGAAAATACAGTAGCATATTGATGAAAATTTGTTTTCATCGACTAATATGGGATAACCATATTATATCCCATAAATATTATGTATACTTTTATAACCATATTAATCCTGGATAATATTATACCATATGGGTTTATCACGAAAGCCAGCCGAAGGCCTGGGCTTGAGTATAGGTATAAGCGAAGCGAAGCGAAGCTAATCTAGGGGGTGTGGGGGGGGGGGAGGCCCGAAATCGGTCCGTTTTTGAAAGGTGAGGCCGGAGTATAATTATGGGAAAACTGGATAACCAGAAAAACCATCCCCAATAGAGGTTTAGGGCATTGGGTATATCCGGAAAAAAACCCTATGACTGGGATGAGATTTTTAATGCCTCCCAGTCATGGGTAGTTGATGGGATGGTTTGCTATTGGCTTTACCACATTAGCTACTCTCTCGCAATCAAACATAGCTTGCTGCAATGTTCACTGTTTTTTCCCATGTAAGCAAGGAGTAAGATTAACCACAGCTTTGTTCTTCTTTGGGATGTACCATGATGTACCGTTCATGGACTTATCACAATGATGTCACAATGATCCCCAGAGAAAGAATCTAACGGCGGTCCTTCTGGGTTGACAGTAGCGGTTTGGTCCTTCCATGACGTTGCCGTTTGAACCACACAATATTAAAAAAAAATACTTTACTTCGTGTGATCCCCACCATGACACTTATACATTTTCTTACTGGCAAATCTTCTGGCATTCTATCTGACATATCTTCTGACATTCTATTTGGCATTCTATCTGGCATATCTTCTGGCATATGATCTGGCATATCTTCTGGCATATCTTCTGGCATTCTCTCTGGCAAATCTTCTGGCATTCTATCTGGCATATCTTCTGGCACTCTATCTGACATATCTTCTGGCATTCAATCTGGCATATCTTCTGGCATATCTTCTGGCATATATTCTGACATATCTTCTGGCATTCTATCTGACATATCTTCTGGCATATATTCTGACATATCTTCTGGCATATCTTCTGGCATATCTTCTGGCATATCTTCTGACATATCTATCTGGCATATCTTCTGGCATATTTTCTGGCATTCTATCTGGGAAATCTTCTGGCATTCTATCTGGCATATCTGGCTGGCATATTATCTGGCATTCTATCTGGCATATCTTCTGGCATATCTTCTGGCATATCTTCTGACATTCTTTCTGACATTCTTTCTAACTTTCTTCTGCACATTCTTTATCCCATATCTTCCTACATGAGGTCCGGCAGGGAACACTTGGCGTGGATACTCGCGGTTGAGGTCCGGCAGGGAACACTGGGCGTGGATGGTCGTGGTTGAGGTCCGGCAGGGAGCACTGGGCGCGGATGGTCGTGGTTGAGGTCCGGCAGGGAACACTTGGCATGGATACTCGCGGTTGAGGTCCGGCAGGGAACACTGGGCGTGGATGGTCGTGGTTGAGGACCGGCAGGGAACACTGGGCGTGGGTGGTCGTGGTTGAGGTCCGGCAGAGAACACTGTGGATCGCGGGTCGCAGTTGAGCAAGGACGACGAGGACGACGAGGACGACGAGGACGACAAGGACGACAAGGATGACAAGGAGGACGAGGAGGAGGAGGAGAGGAGGACGAGGCAGGAGGAGGCGGAGGAGGAGGAGGAGAAGGAGGAGGAGGAGGCAACTGACATAAAATCTAACAACCCTCACCTGGCAGGTGGAGAAAAACAACACGACTTGATCAACTGGTTTGAGTCATTATGTCAAGTTGTGATTATGGAATATTTTATATATATATATATATATCTTAGTTATTATTTTTGATATTCGTACTGACTGTAAGTGATTAGTTGCAACTTTTTTTACGTGGACAAGTGACCTTAGGCCAGAGGTCAGCGGTCAGCAAGTTGAATGGTTTTTTGGGTGACTTTCTTTCCAATTGGACATTTTAGGCAGACGAGAATCATGTTGAAGTGGTGCAACTAAGTATGGGACCAATGATGTCGATTTTTTTGCGTGTAAATTATTGGCTTTTGGAGAGACCAATTTGGCACAGATGGAAGAAATAAATGATTACAACAATTTCCTGAGGGAACCTAACTATATCCCCGCTTATGCAAGGGGATCAATCAATGATTGTGAACGCTCTCAACAATCAGTATGCTCGTGTTGTTCCCAGGAAAAAACAACACGTCATGTGATTGGCTTAGATGTGACATACTCACGGGCGGAGTTCCACTCCAAAGTGGAGATGTTAAAGAAAAATAAGTTCAAGTGGTTTTATCACGGTATTCCCACTTACGGGGCTTTTAACTTCTTAACATCACGTATGTGTATGTATATATATATATATATGTATATGTTTTTAATTATATATAATTATGTATACATATATATATATATTGGAATTGTATGTGTATATATATATATATTACATATATATATATATTACATATATATATATATATATATTGTAATATAACATAATATAATATAATATAAACTAATATAACATGATATGATATAATACAATATGATATATAATATACTATTATACTATAATATAATATCATATACATATTATATATATAAGTTTGAATAATTTACAACGTTTTTTTTCTGTACTTGTCCGGATCATAAGCCACCGTGAAGTGCTTAAACTTCCCGTGTCGCTCAGGTGGTAGATCGGCTCATGTCACTGATTCAGGGGGAGCCGGGCTCCCAGGGGTGAACAAATCGTGGGGGATCCCCAAAAATGGATGGTTTCTTCCATGGAAAATCCTACAAAAAACATGGATGATTTAGGGGTAGCCCTATTTTAGGAAACCTCCATTTGATTTCTACTGGTTACTTATCATCTCAGTATAGCTAACCATTGACGTCTTGATTGATATCATGAATCAGTATAGCCATTGTTTATTGGTTACTTATCATGTCAATGATTATGTCCTATAGAATCCTGTAGTTTGTTGTACCAGAATAGCTGATATAGCTGATCAATGACCTCATATACTTATCAACCAATAGTAGCATTGTGTCTATCAACTACTATTGGTGGGTTTACTTAGCCACAGCCCTTAGGGTCATGTCATTATGTTTGAAGCCAGCAAGAAACATCGTATATTCTGCGATATTCTGCGGTGCAGAGACATACAGTCAATTTTCATGGAATTTTCAACAATCTGAATATGGGTGTGTCTGAAAATAGTGTACCCCTAAACCCAATGGTTAATGATCATTATCCCTATTAAATGGCTATAATTGGGAATATACCCTATTTTCAGACAAACCCATATGAGATGTGGCTTCAAGTCAAGTCACTTCAGCTCACCGACTCTCTTAGGGTTTGTCGATGACACACCAATTACCTGAGCCCAAAAGGGGACCAGCAAAGATGATCTCCTGGATATCCCAAGGAATGGCCTGATGAATGTCAAGCTCTAGTAGGTTTGTCAAGTTTCTCCCAATTAGCGTTTGTTTATTTAACGTAGCTACGGAAAATATCCATGTTGTTTATTGGCAAATAAAGAAATCATCTATTTCTATGTGCCAGTTTACATATGTTAAATAAGCAGAGGGTGTGAAGCATGTCAATACTCAAACATTGCAAAATAACAGTTGATATGTACCATTATCATCCATTATCATTATATCCCACTATATTCCATTAGTTTTATTCCCACATTTTGTGGTCTTAAAATGTCTTTAAAAAAAGGTGTGTCCCAGTTGAATTCCACCGAAATGGATGACACCCCAAATATACATATATACTGGTTGGTGGTTTGAAACATGTTTATTTTCCATAATTTATGGGAATAATAATCCCAACTGACTAATATTTTTCAGAGGGGTTGAAACCACCAACCAGATATATATATATATATATGTATATATATATATATATATATGTATATATATATATGTATATATATATATGTGTCAACCCCAAAATTGTGTTATTTTCTTTTTTGATGCATCCTATTTTAGGTACATGATTATACATGCTCCTAGGAATGTTGATTAAACCCATCATACCCTCATGGTTAGCCCCCGTAAGTGGGGATGTATACTGTAGATACGGTAGATAGATATATATATATATATATACATATAACCCCATAACTATTATGACTTATCCACTTATAGCTGGAACTGCACCCCTAGCCAGTATAAACTTAAGTAAACTGACTACACACTTATCATTAGTTATCCCCTTATGTATATATATATATATATTTGTATATAACACATATCCACTGAATTTGGCTGTTAAACCCATAATACTTCCACGGCCTATCCAGCGGCATTCCATGGTAGGCAAAGCGATGCAAAGCTCATACCCAGCTACCGGGGCTTCCAGGGGAGCGTGTGGTGCCCTGGATGGGCGACGGCGTTCCGGGGGACGGGTGGGGTCAGCACACGATGACTGGTCAACCGTTTTTTTTTTCGTGGTTGTTTAATGGAAAGACTAATGATTAATGGTTAACTTACTGAGCTCAGAAATTGCCTTCCATGGAAGATAAAGGCGAGAAAAAAACACTTGCATTGAAGTTATGATCTAGACATGAAAGTATGAAATTGTTTGCATGGTTCTATTCATTTTTATGGGTTATGCTGCTGAGAGGTAGCATGGAAACCAAAAAAGCGCTTTGGAAGAAGATGTCCTAGTGGACGCTGCTATGTTTTAATTCTATACTAGTTTTCAGGCACTATAAATTTTAAACCCTGTGCGTCAAGGATCTACTGTATTCTGGATAGGTCTTTGGACAAACACCTAAATATGAATCCTGGCACCTATCCAGGGAAGGCTGCGGCAGCAGGGGTTCAAGATGTGCACAGCCAAGAGACACATCATTTTATGCACTATGTCTACAACTTCTTGAAGAGAAACAATCAAGAGTAACAAATTTTGACACACACTTTATGCACAATTTCAGTCCTGACCGTGGACAAAGTTGGACTTTCCATGGAAAGCCGAAGCAGAGCCCGACATGGCGGCTTCCCTTGTGGGTCCCACAAAGTGCCAGCGGCAGTGCCATTGAAAGGCACACGGATGTCGGGGCTGTACGGCAGCCTTGAAGAGATGTCCCCAAGAGCCTCCCCTCTGAGCTTGCAGACCCAGAGGGGTTCCAGAGACTTTAAAGGAAGATTCAGAGCTTGAGGAGTTCCTTTCTGATCAGAAGGGTGGACGCTCAGACGTTTGGATACCAATCCAGTCGGATGGGTGGAACGAACCAGTTTACAACTGTTTGGCTTGGGAATATGTATCAAGCAGACGCAGAATCAAGAGTTTGTCGGAAAACCGGGGTAGCACGACATGGTAGCACCAAATTTGATGAACTCTCAGTTTTTTCTTCGCAAAATTGCAATTTACTCCATTTTCAGTCTACCGTCATACGCACAGCATGTAGGATCATGGGGAAGGATCCATATCAAGGGCCTTGCTCCAGGATGCTCCAGGCGTGCCCAAAGGGCACAACGAGCTGATTATCGCGGCACAGGAATGTACTGTAGCGGTTAGTAGTGGTAACTGTCCCAAGTAGCCTTTTTTCTGGTGATATATTACAAGTTATTCATATTTATCCTTATGCAGCAATATGCTATTTAATTCGTACATGTTCGTTATACACCATTATACCGTAACCAACCTGCAACTTCAGTTCCATCGCTACGACAAACTCAGCCACTCGTTTCAGGTTACAGACATCAACGGAAGATGGGTTTCAAAGGGCAATTGGCAGGCGCACATACTGCTGGGTCGGCTAGAAAGTTTTACTGTAGATCTTTGAGATCTTTGCTAAAGAACTAAAATGAACAGAAAATAAATAGATTAATTTCTCCATATTTGAACTCTTTAGTAGTTTTGTGATTTAAAGATGTACAGCCACATCTTGTTCAGCCAGTGGCTTGAACAAGCTGTTCGACGGAGCCGATGGCCACGCCAATCAAGAATTACTTATGGTAACCCACCCACTTAGAATCTTTGGTTAGTTGGTTATAGTTGGTTTATAAACGCCAGTCCAACTTCTAAGGCCACCTTTTGAGGAATCTAGGCTAATTTCGACCTGTCCAATCAGTTTCAAAATGTGCAGGGCCCAACTGACAAGCCCAACTTCCAAAGGTTTTGTCGAAAGCTGACACTGACCTGCAAAATGAATAGTTTGAACTGTAGACAGTTACAGTTGTCTGAATATCATTCATCATTTTTCGACGCATTGTTCCATCCAGTTTGTTGCTTACTGGCTTCCACCCTATGACAATATTCTTATGTCATTCACGATGGACGCCAACAGATCATTATGCAGTTTACGCGTGGATGTACCGAAACATCACGGAATTGTTGGTTTGTCCCAAGGAAGGGTATGGAAGGGTACTCCTCAAATTCACCAAAGTTTGTCCATCGCCGACTGTGAGATGTTGTGAAGGGATACGTCCATGGTCTTGTGATAGTTGTGTGGAGTTGGAGCACTTTGAGTGCTAGTTTTTCGTGCTTCTCAAACTTTGTGTACCCCAAAATTCCAAAACCACCAATATTTTCCTATAAATCACTATTGAACATGATAACGTGGATATCTTGACAAGTGAGGATCCCCAAAGAAACTCCCAGATGTATCGTATACTTCCTATAGAGTGGAGGTTGGTTAAGGCGGTGCCGCGTTCGGTGGAATGACCAGCCACCGAAATGAAGGTATTGATGTTGAAGATGTGTGCGAAATGTGTATGTATGATTTATAAATTACAAACTTATATAGTACATGTATAACATATATAGTACATGTATAACATTTAAAATTATACATGTATAAAATTATAACATGTTATAACCTATATAGTACATAACATAATATAAATGTACGTGTATGCAGATGTATATGTACATATTATTGTTCATAATAGATAGGATCATGATGTGAAATCACTACCAAGCCCCATGCATCCCTATTTGGGGATGAACATCCCAACTTGTAGGGCTTCGAAAAGATTGAATGCTTGTACCATATGTTTGAAGTGCACTCCCAAGTATATATATATTATATAGTTCCTCCTATTTCCATTAAATGTCAATGTCTCACTTGTTTTCTCCTTATGGGAATTTCACTCGGGCGACAAAAGATGGTCAAAGATTCACCATTATTAGTGGTTGTTGTAATGGGTTGTTGCGATTGTTGGTGGTCGTCAGATGGCTGGACGGGGGAGGTTTGATCCCGCCCATGAGCGTTCTTGGTTGGTTTAGAACTCAGTTACAACAACGATATATAGATTCGTATGTATATATATATATATATGATGTATTGGTTCAACACCATATCGTCCTCCACCTTCCTATTCAGCATCATGTTCTCATGTTATATGTTTTTATTGTGTGACTAGTTGGTTATTCATATATATCAATATATATATGTCATTATTTTCATGATATTATATTTACTAGTATTGGATCAATACATCTCATATTCCCATAGGGCCATAGGGATACACTCATTTTGTATTTAATTTATTATCCTTACCCTCCTGTAATCAAAGATATAGCAATGGAACAACCACCATCAAACGTTCGATGATTTTCCCAGCTAGAAACCTCCGTGGCTAGGCCACGGGGATTTCCCAGCTTGCCATGTCTGGAAATTACCCTCTGTTTAATTAACATAGCTATGGAAAATTATCATTTTTCATGGGTAAATCCACTATAAAGGGCCATTTTCAATAGCTATGTTAAATTACCAGAGGGTATCATATATAATTCTAGAATCTATATAAACCATTCCAGAAGCACTTTTCGTCATCTATTTAGGTGTTACTATAGTGCATTATATTCATTAAATGTTGTTAATCAATGTTAATCACATATCATCACCAGTACCATGTTTATTGGTTATAAGTGGTCATGTTTCATGCTGAATTCCCGGGGGGGGCCCGCACCATGGCTCACGAATAACAGATCTTGGAGGGCGAGGGCATCGATGAAGGCGCGACAATAGAAGGGTCGAGTGGAGACCTTGCGGTGGCCGCAATTGGGGGGATTTGCAGGTTTGAAATGATGATGTTTGTGTTACCTCTATACCCTCTGGCTATTTAACATAGCCATGGTATAGATGGCCCATAGAAATAGATGGTTTACCTATTAGAAGTTGTGATTTTCCATGGCTATGTTAAATAACCTGATGGTAGTTCCCAATGCGTATTTCTGCTGGTACACAATCCGAAGATATTCCTTATACTTCTGATTCGGCTCTGTTATTGCCCAACATGAAACGCTCTGGGGCACAACAGACGTCCGGATGCATATTTTAGGTTATGTTCCATTAGTTTCCTATGAATCGGGGTAGTCCACAATCACCAAGGGTCAATATACTCTGTATAAGGAATCCCATTCATGATGGTGGAGTGACCATAGAAACCATAAAATCCATATACTGTTGGTTGTACAGTAGTACATCCCATTTTATGGCCCATTTTATACCCATTGCTGTCCCACCATATATACCTACAGTATTGTTAGCGAAATAACCCATCCAAAGTGTCGAAATTTATACTAAATCCACTTAAATCCCGACTTCATTGGTATTTCATTGGTTGAATCCCATATTTCAAACATATGTCAACCATATCTCAAACATTTTCTGTTGGTCCCCGCTCATCCCATGACACAACCATACCACAACAGTGCTGTGCAGATCTACTCATCGTGGAGATCACAGAGCTGCCGGTGAAGGCACGCTGTCGATCCATGGCCACCTCCTGAGGCACTTCCTAAGAAGCTACGGCTGGATCCTTAGGGAATGTTTGTAGAATAGTTTAAGCATGGGATTTTGTATGACTAGATATATGTTTCTATATTATCTTATCTCTATTCTATGACCATATATGTTTTGTTTCATCTATATTCATGAGTCGCCAGTCATCCCCGGATAGAAGAGTGAATCTTCAGAAATTGAATGACTAAGTCAGGGTTTACATGTCTATCTTTTGGGGATGACTCTATTATAATCTACATATATATAATATATATATATATATACATTTGTGTCTTCTACCATTTACATATGTAATTATGTATAATTTGGAAACTAATGATTTGCTACAGCTCATTTTTCCCCATAGAAGTATGTGCATATTTGTATGTTTCAATGTGTTTATGTCTAGTGATTTAAATACTTACGGAACCGTTCAACAATGATGTTGTAGTGACTATTTGGTATAACGAACTGGTAAGTGGAGGTGGTAAACAAACGCGATTGGTGGGTACGTCAACTGGGAATGAAACATGGCAATGCTAATGTTCTGGTTAGTGCTGTGCTATTTTTGAATATGTTTGACATTCCTGGGTTTGCCAGCATGACCGCACATGATTGGATACACAATACATTCTATGTATGCTTTAAGTTAAGTTTTTATACAATCAGTAATGGGTACACAGTTTCATTACACGCTGACTGGTTCGTTGTTTCGTTCTTCATATATTTTCCAAGCAGATTCAAAACAACAACTGGCTGGCTCTATATTATGTATATAGTGTATTACGTTTATCATTATTGTTTTTTGTCATGATTATTACTATAACAATAAAATAGTAATAATAATAATATAATATATAGTGTATACTACATATATATATATATGATCAGCTAAATTTGAATGTATGCTATAATATATGTATATATTTATACACACTTTATATATATATATACTATATATATATTATGTTCAGCTATTGTTTTCAGCCGAGTTGACCCATCTTCATCTCTGCAAGGCCTGGACAGATGACTACATCCAGGAATTGGAAAAGAAGGCACCTGCGAGTTGACCGGTGACATATCAATGAACAAAATGGTGAAATAACTGGTGATTTCTATTGTGATTAATAGTGGTTAATAATGGCTAATAGTGATTAATAGTGGTCAGTACTGGTGATTTCTATGGTGATTAATAGTGGTTAATAATGGCTAGTAGTGATTAATAGTGGTCAATACTGGTGATTTCTATGGTGATTAATAGTGGTTAATAATGGCTAATAGTGATTAATAGTGGTCAATACTGGTGATTTCTTTGGTGATTAATAGTGGTTAATCATGGCAAATAGTGATTAATAGTGGACAATACTGGTGATTTCTATGGTGATTAATAGTCGTTAATAATGGCTAATAGTGATTAATAGTGGTCAATACTGGTGATTTCTATGGTGATTAATAGTCGTTAGTAATGGTTAATAGTGGCTAATAGTGGTTAATACTGGTGATTTCTATGCTGATTTATAGTGGTTAATAATGGTTAATAGTGGCTAATGGTGGTTAATACTGGTGATTTCTATGGTGATTAATAGTGGTTAATAATAGTTAGTAGTGGCTAATAGTGGTTAATAGTGGTTAATACTGGTGATTTCTATGCTGATTAATGGTGGTTAATAATGGTTAATAGTGGCTAATAGTGGTTAATACTGGTGATTTCTATGGTGATTAATAGTGGTTAATAATGGTTAATAGTGGCTAATAGTGGTTAATACTGGTGATTTCTATGCTGATTAATAGTGGTTAATAATTGTTAATAGTGGCTAATAGTGGTTAATACTGGTGATTTCTATGGTGATTAATAGTGGTTAATAATGGTTGATAGTGGCTAATAGTGCTTAATAGTGGTGATTTCTATGCTGATTAATAGTGGTTAATAATGGTTAATAGTGGCTAATAGTGATTAATGATGGTGAGTTATAACTGGGGATCTCTATGGGATTCTACATGAACCATAAATGGGTCGTTTTAATGTACTTGTAACTGGTAAAAACAAATGGCCATAACTGTAGAAACCAATGGGGTTAACTGGTTATGACCTTTTTTTTGCATTACAACTGGTTATTTCTATGGGCTCGTATAGTTCATAAATGTGTTTTTTTAAATGTACTTATGTAATATATAACTGGTATTTTGGGCCAGAACTGTGGTGATGCGGAAAACGAATTTCGGCCAAACGCAGTGGCACAGGGCCGATGTGTTTCGATATTTTTCCATCCAACTAAACCGCAGGTAGGTTACCATCCCCCTAAATTGACACAGACCCTGCCTTTAAAAAGGGTCTATCATTTGAGGGAGGGTAATTGTCATTCTACCCCATTCATCTTGATCCAAGTGTTTTCCCCCATCTATCCACATTTTTTCCACCACTTGACCATCGCCAGGCCGAAAAATCGCGCATCTCCATGAATGTCTTCAAGTGCAGGGACCACGATGACCAGAGCAGGGTGGCCCGAAATCTCGACGGTGACGGGGGTAAACTAACATAGATGTGGAGAAGCCATGGTTCCTTTATAGGCAAATGATCTACAAGTGGTTGTTTTTCCGACATCTATGTTAAGTTTATAGGGCCTAGGGTAAGCAAGGAAACTGCAAGAAATGATGTGTTTCTGTTCTAACTTGGATGAATGGAAAGTGAACGTGGATTATTTGTCATTCGTTGTCAATGTTCATGGGACAATTTGACAAAGCACCGGAACGGTGTTGTTGACTTTGCAGGGTAGCTCAAAATATGTAGCCATGTGCATGGGAAGTCGGATCTGCAAATTGGTTTGTATCTGGTCGATGGTTTGAACGTTATTCATGTTATATTCCGGCATGGGATCATGTGCACGATTGACTGATAGGTTGCAACCACCAACCCGATATGCGTTTCTGGTTATGTTGAATCCCGTATTGCAAATGGTTCTTCTCATTTGCTGAGGTAAAGGGCACATGCAGAACTCCTGTGGCACTTTAGGGTCCTCATTTGCGAGCAAGATTCCCTTATAGACTTTGGCAACTTTGCAATTGTATTTGATGGCTATGACCTATTTTCAGTGATTCAGACGCTGTCGAATATCACATTCTTGAGTTTTATATATATATATATATTCAATCTATCCCAATTTATCTCCTCATTCTGGTGAGTTTACCTTCCAATCTCTTATAAGCTATGGCACATGGCCCACGCCACAAAAAGCACTGATTTTCCACGGGAAAATGACCCATTTACCGATGATCTTCTGGATGAAAGCTCTATTTAGTTTGGGGATTTCCCAGCTAGCCATGGTTGACCATTTTTGGTGCTGCCATTCCTAGATCTGCTGAAAACAATGTGAAATCCACTACTTGGGGAATCTATAGTCTTAAAAAAAATATGGGGTTCCCTAAGTAAATCCAAGATAGGTTAACTGTTCACTGGTTTCTTAAGCCATTTGCTAAGCAGCAAACCAACTATGGTGGCAAATTTCCGTCGCGCCGAGATGTTCATCTTCTTTTGAACCTTGATCCGGAGCAGTTTGCTGTGCACAATCGTGAGCAGGCGCGGGGGATTGACCAGCCACAATGGTGATGAATAGTTGAGGCAGCTATGGCCCCAACTAACAGTTATAAATGGAATTATAACTCCTATAACTAAGATTATATATATATATATCACTATAAGCCCATTTATCACTGGTATTTCGGGCCATCACGGTGAATAATGATGAATAGTTGATGAATGTTGGCTAAGTTGGATTACAACTAAGCCTATAAGTCGTTTGTTTTGCGATATCTACGTATAGTTGCTGTGGATTAGACACCAACTTACATAGCGGGTCAGTTAAGGCTGGAAATTCTTGATGTTTAAAGATGTTGTGAAATGGCAGCTGGGGCTCCTTGATTGGTGAAAACTTCAAGAAAGCGAACTGGTTGCTGGTGGCAACTGGCTTGTTTCACCTTGTTTGGTGAAACGTGATGAAACAACCAGTGGCATCTTCTGAGATTTTCGAAGGCCTGAATGATCCGGTTGAATGGTTTCCGTACCATGACTCTGTGGATCCCTGGAGTGCAAATGACAGGAGATTCAGCCCCCATGGTTATTGGTGGCTGATAGATCCTTAATAAACCATAAATGGTTAGTATAAGATATGAGTGAGTATTATTGGTTCAAGAAACCCTTATTGGTAATATTATTGACCAACATTGGTGGCTGATATTAGTGGTTATCTTTCGGAGGTCACCTTTAACTTTGGGGGCTGAAAAGCTATGATATGAACATGATTGAGACTGGAATTTACCCTCTGGTTATTTAACATAGCCGTGGAAAATGGCCCATTTATAGATGATTTTCCCATTAAAACCTCCATTTATAAGGGATTTTCCATGGCTATGTCAAATAACCAGATGGTACAATTTTTGTGGGAGCCTTGGTACTCCATTCTTGAGCCAAAACCACATCTAAGATGGACCTATTGGTGGGATGCAACTGGGGAGAAAAGAAAGGTGCGTCATCTGGCTTGGGAGCCAAAAAGCAAGGGTGTTTTGTGGACTATATACATCTATATACCATGATTCAGTAGAAAAACTTGGTAGTTGACCCGTTTTTTCCGTTCAACGGAATGTGCCTGGTATGTCAACCCCGGCAGGCACTGCGGCGATTCTTGCGCCTGGAGAAATCCGTTGTCTCCCTCATGTGGCTCTTTACCGAGGTGCAACGTTGCCAAAAAATGTTTGCTCGAGCCCCTTTTTCAATGTTGCCACGGGACAACACTCCTAAATTTGTTTGATTTAGGTTTATATGTTATTTACATTGTTTTCCCAGATTCAATTTCACTGTGTGGATAGTTGAAAATTGGTTCCATGTGCATGCCAACATCGTCTCTTAGGTTGATAGCCTTTTCGATGCACAGAACACGATTTGATGCGTTTGCCTACCGGAGTTTAGAGGGATCATAAACCAAAATAGCAAGCCAAGTGTAAGTAGCTGGGCACATCATTCCAGGAGAAGTGGTTCAGTAACTGCAGACCCCCATGGGTAAAGTGACTGCTGAAGGTGAAGATGGGTGAATCTGTACTTATCTGTACTTAAAGTGGACTAGTGGTCCACTGGAAGTTCGGAAGTCAGCTGTTTCCTAATCGGTGACTCGCTTGTGACGGTCGGATCCGCTCGCTTGAAACTGTCTAATCCGCTCGCTTGTGACTGTCTCGAAACATCACAATCATAATGATATAGCAATAATAATAATAATGATCATAATAATACTAATAATACTAATAATAATAATAATAATCATCATGATCATCGTCACCATCATGATTATTATTGTCACCATCAATGTTTTCATGAATCCACACCTTCATCGCCGTCATCATCATTGTCACCTTCATCACCATCGTCACACGCGTCTTCGTCAACATGATCTGTGTTCAATATGTTTGTCTTATTTGTTATCATTATCGCGTTGATCATCATCATCATCATCATCATCATCGTCATCGTCACTGTCACTGTCACTGTCACTTTCACTGTCACTGTCCAATGTGTTTTTATCATCATGACCAGTAGTGAAGAGTAGGAAAGTGAAGGGAGTACAGAAGTTAAGAGGAGACAATTATGTGAAAAGAGTGCAGAAGTGAAGATAGGTAGGAAGTCAAAAGAATATGAAGTCAGTGGCAAGTCGAATCAAATCCGTGGAAGCTACACACGTAGGCGTGAAGTCCCAGTGAACTTGTGCAACCCCTACCCCCATTCATATTAAACACCCCAGAAAACATGGTGGATGTAGGGGATGAAATCACATATTTGGCACCTTTTTGGGTGTGTTTAATATGAAATGGGGATGGGATTATCTATTTGTATCCATCATTATTTATATTATGTGTATATATATATATATAGATCACCCACTATAGCTGATATAGTAGTTGATTGCTACATACCCCATCAGTATACATTCAGAACGCCAGCTTCGCCAGCTTCTTGTTTGCTTGGATCCCAGACGGAGGCAGAAGATCAGAGTCAATCGCTGCAGTTTTTCCAGGTGCGGTGCTAAAGCGGGCCACATCTTTGTTGTTTGTAAGGGAAAGGTCAAACCAGTACTACAGTACTGGTATGTTTAGTATTGTTTGATTCAAGTGTTTCCACTTGTATGGCATGTATGATGGGAGAGTTAGATTGCTATAGATTATTTTGATGTTTGTTGTCATGTGTGCAGTGGGATTTAAACATCCACCAGCAACGATTATGTTGCCGTGGATAATTTGGGGTCACTTGTTGTTTATCCGTAGATAGACATATGCCACGGAACAATGTGTGGACAGAATGACATAGACCCTTACTTTACTGACAGGCATCTTTTAAGATCTGAGTCATTCAGACCGTTTGAGATCATGCTGGTCTTCTTTGAATGCCTGCTTCTATCTAGTACCCTCTGAGACATTCTTGCTTGACTGGCTGTAAAAAGTGTCCGATACAATCAGCCATGGCATTGAATGTGCTTCCATTTCCTTGTTGGATTGTCGGGAGCAAAATTATAGATTATAGACACAAAGGGACGATTTGATGTGTGCCATGGTCAAAAGTCAAACTTCATATTATATTACAGAGAAATGCTGCAACTTTGTTAGGGCTGATTTCTTTTTACACTTGGCCAATCCTAAGAACGTCATGAGCACGCAAATCCAAAAACCCTTGAATCCACCTTCCTTGCAAAATTGATGATGTGGCAGAAGATAATGCGAGCCAACGTTTCGCAAATTGCATGAGACTGCAGAGGAGGAATGCTAGGGGCGATTTTATCAAAACAAAAAAAAGGAAGGTTGCCTTGTATCTTGGCACTTGAAAGTTTGGTCTCGCCTTGCGATTTCTCACCCTTCCTGCTCTGTTTTATTACCCACTTCCCTTTGGATTAAATCTGGCGACATTAGAATTAGGTGCATGAAGCATGTCTTTTGGTATAGCAACTCTTGGAGCGCTCCGATTATTCGCCCTAGGCCCTAATCTATTCTTGACTTTCACGATATCCAATCACCACAGTTTCAGATGCACTGACCCAACCACCAGGGTCCCGGGCTGTGTCGAGTCCGACTAATCGGACTGGATAATTGGATGACCAGGGGCCCCCCACAAACCTTGGACCATAGCACCCACTGGCCTGGTACTAGGCCGGTGAAGTCAGTCACTTTCCAAAAACTGGCTTCAAATGCACCAGATAGCTCCAACAAACATGATGCCTAAACAGCCTAAACAGCCAACAAACATGTTTTTTAAAGATGTTGTTTGGATGCTTTGGCCACTTGAAAAGGCAGAGGCCTATCACCATTCATATTCACCTGCAAGATGCCCCATTTCCAGGCAGAAGGCCCCCCAGGGCCCCCAAGATATGCTGCATGGAATCAAGCAACTGACTGGGCCCATCTTGCTGTAAGTCTTGTGCTCCATCTTGATTATCCAGTTGCTGGGTAAATCCCCATTCACAACCCGCCGATGGTTCGGAACATGTTTTTTTCCATATATATTGGGAATGTTATCATCCCAACTGAAGAACTCATATTTTTCAGAGGGATTGAAACCACCCACCAGATATTATTAACCATCATTAACCATATAATAACCATTAATATTAACCATTGTTAACCAGGTATATTAACCATATAATAACCATTAATATTAACCAATCAACCAATATCATATTTGCATCCGGTATTTCCTCTGATCTTCCGGTTGTTGAAATCGACCGTGCCCATGAGGACGCCGAAATGGTGCTTGAGGCCTTCTATCGTCCGGGAACCAGCGCCCACGCTGACTTCACTCGTGGTCAATTGAATTGTGCCACTCAGTTTTGTGACTGAATTAGCTTTCACTTATAATTTGATAATTAGATAAATTATACACACTTTTGAATCTCACCAACTTCGCGATTCATGATGGATTGTTCAGACTAAAATGTGAACACACAGAGAACATCAGCAATGACACTCCGTCACTGATTCCCGGAGTTCTCGCATTGTGAGTTTGGCTGCAAATCATCTACAAAGCAACATGGAGACCAGTACCAAAACATATTTCACCCATGCAGGCGACCGTGCAAAGTCTGATTTTGGTGGCATTTCTCGCATGCACATGGACCTTCAATAGATAGATATACACCTGTGTGCCAACTTAGCTACCTTTGTTAGCTATTTCTGCTTGACGATGCTAAGAAGTGATCTCCAAAGGTAATGATGAGTGGTTGTCTGGTTGGTGGTTTGGAACATGGCTTTTATTTTTTCCATATATTGGGAATGTCATCATCCCACCTGACGAACTCATATTTTTCAGAGGGGTAGGCTCAACCACCAACCAGGTACACTATAATGTGGGTAAAACAATGCCATAAACCAGCCATGACTGGGAATGGTAACCATAGCACCTATAAAGCCACAAAAAATATTTCTTCGATTCCATGCATCCATCAGATGAGGTGCACGTCGCCCTTTTTACGCACAGCGGAAGGTGCTGCCCTGCTTCGTGACGGTGTCCAACTGAAGCTATCTGGATAAAGGGAAACCGAAGCTATGTGAATTCCTGGAACATTCAGAGAAACTGTGGATGAATTTCAACGGGAATGATGAGCGAGTCGATTTTGTTTAGCCATTTTGATGGAGGTATATGTCAGATCGCAAGATGTGATTTTCAAAGTGCCATCCATGTTTGCTTATGGTCCGAAACATTTCCTGCATGGCTTCAATACAAAAGGGCCACCGTACGGCTGGAACTTGGTGCTCCTGGCAAGTTGGTTGGATCTCATCCCGTTTCTGGGACCAGGGCGAAGTTACCCGCTAATGATCGCTAATGGCGAAGTTACAAGATTCAGCCATATGTTCCATAAGAAAACGAGGTACTGCAACAAAAATCTTAGTGCTTGCGCTTCTTTTACCTTGTAACGTCTAAGTTCCACCCATGTTGACAATGTCTTGATCAGGAGCGCATGATACAACAGATATCTCACCAGGCGAGTGTGAAAGTGGAGTGGGAGGAATCGTGACCTCGCTGGAACCATATTACTCTCTGGTGAGAAAACATAGCTATTGAAAATAGTCATTTAGTTCGTTGATTTACCCATTAAACATGTTGATTTTCCATAGTCATGTTAGTTTACCGGTATAATTTACCCAGAATCACGTTTTACAACTTTATTCTGCTGCCACAACAAGTTTTGCCACGGAAATCTGGTAGATGAACATATTTGTCGAGTGGTTTTGCGTTACCAATGTTGGCTGGTTTTGGGCTGCGTGTTTAGAAACAGTACTATTTCCATCTATTTCCTACATCACAGTGAAGCACGGCTGCATTTTTTCCTGCCAGACTTTGGCATACCCTTGGCACCTGTTGGTTTGGGCTGCCCTGCGTTACGTGATTTTGATAGCATGGGATATCCATCTCACACCCAACAGACTGGTGACTGGTGATTCCGCAACATTAGTCCCATCAACTGGACTGGAGCCACCACCTCATATGTTAATTTTGTCATTTATGTTTTCACATCATTGAATTTGCCATTTTAGATGCTTGTACAACTTGTATCACAATAGTACAAAGTAGAAAATGCTACAAACTACTTCTGAAATTCTGTGCTTCATCATGTTTTACCATATTTTTTATCAATGTGTTTACCATGTTTTTTTTAACCATGATCTTCCTTGTTGTTTCACGGCCGGTCGCGGGACACGCTGGCGTAACCTTAGCGTTGAAGGTTCAACGGCTGGAGAACCAGTTGCGGTGCATTCAGATGCCTCCTGGCGTCGTCCTGGCCATGTTTTTCTTTGTTCGATGGGAAACACCAATGGCCATGTTTTGTTAGTAGAGCAAGAATACACCACCTATTATATAACATATAGTATATAATATATGATATACTATAAAATAATATAATTTAATATAATATGAATATGTATAAATATAAATATAAATATAAATACTATGTGCCCTGTATTATATATGTTGATGGTTTAAAGAGCCCATGAAAATGGATGAACATGGTGAGTCATTGGGGAAGGTTTACTATTGTTTTACTAAGCATGATAGTGAACTCAATAGAAATTGAGCAAGTGATGAGGATGCCAGGCATCCCAAATGATGATTAACACATCCATGTGTGCTACCGAATACTGACATGTTAACTGCTGGTATATCCATGTAAACCCATATGGGTATGGGTCAATACCTATAGATACATTTTTAGTGGGATGAACATCCGTTTACCAGCTATTTTGATGTTCACCAGGGGTACAAGGTTTTGACACACTGCCATATGATATCCCATGCATTACCGGGTAAACCAAGCACGCATCCATTTCTTCCAAGTCTTGGATCCCGTGCCCTGGACAGGTCTCCCCCAAAATCGAGATGGTTACGCCAATGACTCCATGGGGAAACCACCAACGAGATGGAATATATAGTTGGAGCAGATATTATATATCCCATAGGATCCATGTATGGTATATATGCTAACATTTGGGGTATATTGATGGGATCCATGTTACCATATATGGCATACATGGATCCTATGGGATATATAACATGATGTTGGATCATATCCAGTAGTAATACTTTTTTTTTGCAGTAAACAGGACATTTGGTGACAACATACTATCGTCGCTTGGGTAGGTTAGCAAGAAAATGCATCGTTTGGCCAGTCGGGTAAGATGTACAGTACCCCCTTGGTGAAGACATCCCCCCTTTAATCTAGTCCGAAGTCTGGAATACCCTCTGGTAAACTAACAGTTTGCTATAGAAAATCCCCATCTTTAATAGGTAAATAAATTATAAATGGCCATCTTCAATAGCTATTTTGACATGTCCAGAGGGTAACATCAATGTTCATCCCATCTTTGTGGTTCCATGCTAGCTTTTTTTACCGGTTTCGAACTTCACCAGGAATGTTGGATCCACGGATCCATGGCTGGCATGACCCTTGGTGTCCCCCTTGATTTCAACCAAAAAAGATGACTTACTGGTGCTAAACGTAGGGAATGGATGGGAATGGGGGAATGGGATGATTATTAAATTTAGTTATTGTGGATCATTCCCTCCCTCATTCCCTGCTAAGCACCAGTAAGATGAAGTGATTCACCAAAAAAAATGAAAATGGCAAAAACAATCCCCTGAAAAAAATATACCAATGTCATTCCATGTCATTCCATGTCATTGGTGGATTTATATCCCATGCGAATATCAGCATCCATAACCATCCCACTTAGTAAATGTTTAAACAAATGCTATATAATGTGTTATGTATATATATATATATATATTAATCATGTGTGGTTCATATCACCACTCATATATGGGATGAAATATGGATTACATATGTTTCATATACCACGGATCCGATTATGGGATGCACATATCCCTCAATATATCCCAATATCATCCCCATAAATGAGTTTATGTCCTAGATTCATAAGATATCTATGGTATAGTGATTATAACCCAAGTAAATCTATACTAACTATACCCATGTCCAATATCCATTCCTACTCACTGTGTCTTGGCAACAAGTTTTCCCCATCTCACACCGCGGCGCGGCCCTGCCAAATTCTCCAAGGTATCAGAAGGGGGTCCTGGAACCGACGGTCTGTTTCTTGGAGGAGCACTTGACTAACATGGCTTTGTTTGAGAATAGGCTACGACGATCCAAATTATATCAAATTATTTTGGTCTATCCCAATCATAGATGTCCTTTTCCCATTGGTTGGTTGATTTCTTGGTTGGTTGGGTTGTTTTCCCATTGGTTGTGACATTATTCCAATCCCAAATCACCACCCGAAATTCTTTGGGCCAAGTTCAGGGATGAATCTCATCATTTCCGAAGTTGCCAAACTAAGCAGGGGAATATATGGCCCAACGAACAGTTACAGCTTGGTGGCGACTGGAACATGGCTTTTATGACGTTCCATATATTGGGAATAAGAATCCCAACTGACTTTCATATTTTTTCAGATGGGTTGAAACCACCAACCAGGTTATAAATGGAATTACAGCTCCTATAACTAAGGTTATATATCACTATTAAGCCCATTTATAGCTGGTATTTCGGGCCATCACTGCAAGGTCAAAACATTTGCAAATCACTGATTATAGAGGTGCCAAAGAAGATACCAGTTTTTCATAGTTTTTCAGGGATGGTATAGATAGTATAGATGATGTTTTCCCTATAAATTATCCATACATTTGAAGGAAAGCATCATCTATACATATGGGGTTGCTATAATTTTCCATATACGTATTTGCCTTGGTATAAATTCTTAATGTTTTACATTAAAAAAATATGTAAATCGTTATCTACACCACATCAATTCTCCATAGATATGATGTTTTCCCAGGGACATTTCCATATATATTCCCCATCATTTCTCCGTACTTTCTGCGTGTTTCAACGTTTCTAGCATCTTTCATGGGGATTTCCCCCAGCCCTTGGCAGGACCAGGGCTTCGCGCGGATGGAGAGGTCGCGGTCTTCACTGCCAAGGCGATGACGTTCCAATGGAACATCCATTTACCCTCTGGTAAAAGTCTACAGTTTGCCATGGAACATGTCCATCTTTAAGTTCGTTAAATCAGCGAACTCAAAAATCGATGATTTTCAATAGCTATGTTAGTCATTGCCAGAGGGTACAGATGTTGAATTGCCATGTTACCATGTTTGATACAGAGGATGCTCGCCGCAACCCTTGCAGGGAGGGGGAGTCGTCCCAGATGGAGGCCTTGGGCATCTGGCATCAGCTATTCTCATGGTGAATCAACCCGGGATTGGATCCGGGATTGGTGCAACATGTTTCTTGATTTTAGGTCAATATTCCATGTTTAAGGTGAACATGAACATCATTTTTTTTGGGAGTATCCCTGATTTTTGTGCAAAATCATTTCGTCGTTGCGTTTTGGCCAGGGATGATGGCAACATTGGATACGAAAGGATGATCATCATGGTCTGTAGCAAAAAATCGTTGCAACAATGGGACCGTTACCCTCTGGTAAACGTTTACATAACTATGGAAAAAAACACCATTTTTCATGGGAAAATCCACTATCATTGACCATGTTCAATAGCTATGTTAGTTTACCAGAGGGTAATAGCATAGATCGGTCTGGTTTTGTTTGTGCTGATAATTTGGCGTCGGACAATGCACATCTCTCCATCTTTGCTTGAGCGATGTTTTGCTTGATGCTGCTGAGACGGTTTCTGAATATGTGAGACAGATGATCCTTTTTTTTTCATATGTGTTAGCACACTAGCAAGAAGCAAAGAGGCTTATTGGGTCGCATGCTTCGCTGGTTGGCTGGCGTTTTCATACACAAATTCCATCACCATCTATAGGATGGTTTGTAAAATATTTGTTGAACTACTATGAACTGCTTCAAAAACCGTGTGAAACATTTCAGCTGAACTATCCAGAAATATGCTACTCCCCAAATCAGGAGGTTTTTTTCCAAGAGTTTCCCTTTAAAAAAATGAGGGTTTTGCCAATTTTCAATACACACGTCCCGTCTCCCAGACCTCTTGTCATTTCAGATTTCATTTCAGATTTTGGGTCACGGTATCAGGACGATCGGGGCTTCAAATATCTGTTAGACATGTCCTTTGGCTGCAGCGATGCGACTGGAGCTTGGAATATGTACAGTGGAAATGTTCATGGCATCATTGCCATCATATACCCTCCAATTAACATGACGACCCTGAGTTTTGGAGGGGGTTGAAGAAAAATTGTGTGTTTGTAATCTGGGGAAGGTATCTTTGGATTTCCAGACATTGCTTCCAGTCATGGATTCCTGATGGTAGCCCATTGTTTGCTTCTGCCTTTGGGAGAAGTGGCCATTGCCCCACAAGTATGTTGAAATTTATTGCAGAAACAACGTGGTTAAAACAATGTCATATATGTTTAGCATCCCCCAGTCATCAGCAACTCTTATAGGTGGTATAAACTTCACCATTCCCAGGAAGTCATGGGTTCCTGAAAATGACATTGTTTTAACATGTTTTAAATGTCCGGGGATGGATGGACCAGGTCCGGAAATGTGATGAGTGGGCCACAGGGCCAGGCCATTGATGGCCCATATTTGGATGTGAGTGGCTTAGTGGCTTACACTTAGAGTTTTATCCAATCAGCGCTCTGCGGTCACCAAAAAAGTACTCGCAATCTTAAACTCAGTAAATGTTATGTTTACCATCAGTAACTCTTCTGAAACGTAGTACTGTTCGAAGGATATGGAAATGTACCTGCAGGATCTATGGATTTTGCCCACAGGATGTGATGTTCTAACGTTTGGAACCCGCCAAAAAACGCCGGTTGGAGATGATTTTTCCCAATTCCCACGACTCCTGGGCCATCAGGGGATGGCATGTGCAGTTTTTTCACCGGGTGATGAACGGTTGGAGGAATACCCTCTGGTAAACTAACATAGCTATAGAAAATCTACCATGTTCAATGGGTAAATCCACGAACTAAATCACCATTTTCAATAGCAAACTGTTAGTCACCGTTAGTCAGTACCAGAGGGTAGTTCATTTTTGGTAACTAGGACTTCCAGTGGCACAGCTATGAGGGACGATTTTGCGATCATGATAGCCACATCATGTTATAGCCATCCCAAACAGATAGAATATGTGACGAGAGTAGGACTTGACCAAATTCAATTAGCGGTTAGTCAGTACTAGTCAGTGCTTTCTAAGTAAGATATAGTAAGACTATGTTTTTTCCCAGACGCATTCACATCCATTGTTCAGTGGCAAAATCTCCAATATTTGCTGGAACCAAACCACCATTTCCCCATTTTGGTTGATTATGAATCATTAAAACCAATCTTTAAATATGTTTCCAATTTACACTAATCAATATATATGGTTGTTTATATAATCCAAAGCATGGGTATCAACCATTTACCAACCATGATTGTTAGCAATAGTCAGTATATATGTCAATATCATGTATCAAATCTAAATAATCAATACCATTATAAATCCACCATGCTAGGTCAATCTTAGATGGGTACAAACTAATCCAAAATAGTCTTGGATGGTATCAATGGGATTATCTACGTTCACCAGCTAAGTTTTTTTGTTTTGCAGGTATCTGGGTGATTGGCACTGTATAATAAATCATTTTCACAAATGGTTACCCTCTGGTAATTTAACATAGCTATTGAAAGTGGCAATTTTTAATGGGAAAATCCACTACAAATGGCCATTTTCAATAGCTATGTTAAATCACCAGAGGGTATCATAAGTGGTGGTTTAAACCAGTTACAAACGGGACAACCCGTTAATGGGATCAGTTTTCTCAGGCCCATCCAGCGTTTCTCCGTCTCCGGGGTGCGGGGCCTGGAATCCAAAATGAGATGTGACAACGATAGACACTATTAGACTGTCTGTATTCTTGTGTATATATATATATTGTAATATCTACCATAATATGATATTATATTATATTGTATTATATTGTATTATAGGAATTCTATTTCATTAAGTTATGTTATATGTTCATCTTATTTGTAACATATTGTTATTATATCAATTGGTTTGTGATAGTTTATGTCATATTATAGTGTATTTTGTTTTACTATATTTTTTTGTTATACCATATTTTATTGTATTATGTTATATCATAGTATATTGTATATCGAACTATGTTTTATTGTATTGTTGCTTTTTTTTGCATTATATTAAGTATAGCAGTATATTATATAGTTTGAAGATAGGGATAACATGTAATCACAATTGTAATTTAAACAATGGTGACAATGATAATGGTGATGGTGATGATGGTGGTGATGGTGATGACGATGCTGATGATGAGATAATGCCAGCCATCGCAAGTATAGGAACATTTAGGGCTGTCTCAAAATTTATAATCGTCAAATTTCATAGTATGAAACTTAGTTTTCTTTCTCAAAATTTAACTATGGAAGACAAATCTGTGGCGCGGTGCGATTTATCAGGAAAACTGTGAGACAGTGCTCATGACAACAAATGACATATTTTTGATAGCAATGATCGGAAAATAGAAAGTGGTGGATAATGGTGTAATATTATATTATACAAACTATTTAATGATATCAACAAAATTAAACACATATAGTATACTGCTTGGTGGTTTCAAACATTGTTTATATTCCATAATATATGGGATAATCCTTCCCATCTGACTTTCATATTTTTCAAGATGGTTAAAACCACCAACCAGTATAATTTACAGCTGTAGCAGCAAAAACCAAATGTTTTGGGGCAACCCAAGAACGGGATACCGTTTGGTTTTGTTGAGACGAAACGATGACCAAACCGATTTGTTTTCCATAGGGTTTTTGCTAAGCCGGTCTTGCTTCTCAAGGTATGTCACAATATAAGTTATGTTCACATGATGGTAACAGATGGACGGAGATTGCATAAATGAATCAACGTGGCATATACACAGATATGCATGGTAATGATGGATCATGATGTGTTTCATTATCATATTTCTACTACAAGACCTTTGACAATAGCAGATAGGCAGATAATGATACCCTCTGGTAAACTAACATAGCAATGGACAGTCACCATTTTTTATGGGTAAATCCACTATAAATGGTCATTTTCAATAGCTATTTTGACATAACCAGAGTGTAACGATGATTTTAACGCTACATTGAGAACAAAAGTATGTTTAACGCTCCAAAGTATCTCCTGGTGGCGTTCTGTGTGGCCCAGTGAGGCTCAGAAGTTTGAAGAAAAACTTCAACAGGTGCGGCTATGGCGATGCTCCATGGTGCATGAGAACATTTTTTCATTTTTTTTCAGCTCGGAGTTGGAGGTTTGCTAAGTCATGGGGCTAGCCCTAAATCATGTTTTCAGATTTTCCAATTTTTCCTCTGGTAATTTAACATAGCTATTGAAGCCATGGCCCATTTAGTTCGTTGATTTACCCATTAAAAATTGTGATTTTCCACATAGTTATGTAAACGTTTACCAGAGGGTAAGTATGACCATGAATTTACTTGTTTATTGTGGAATCAACATCCAGCATCATCCAGCTATGACTTGTTGGGCCCCGTTTGGAATAGATCCGGGCATCTCTGTGCAGAACCAGGAGACACCAGGTGTGTCTTCAAATGGGCTATAATACCCATGTATTATACGCTTCAAATAAAATTGTTGATGGAGAAAATAAAGATTGAACCATGGGATTTAGGATGATTTAAACTGTAATTATCATGTAATTATATAAACAAATTGAACATCTGGGTTATTATTAGTGGTTAAATGGAGTTGATTAAAGAGCCATATTGTTTTTTCTTAAATGTCAGTGAACCATGCTCAATTGGGAGTTCTAGACCCGTCCCAACCACTAGGAGCTCGGTATTCTTGACCGCGCCTCACAATGACCAATCAATCTTTGGTTTCCAAGTGGTTTTTTGATTTTTCGCGGATCCAAACCCGTTCTGATCCAAACGTACCCATGATTGTGGACTTAGCAAAATCCCCTTGTGGAAAGGAGTTGCACCCCATGAACTTCCCAGCCACCGGAAAGTCAAGAACCACTTCAGGATGGGGCACTCAGAATTACATTCCTCAAGTTCAATGGCACAGTCATCCTTCAACGCCTGGACCTCCATCTGTTAAGGGGAGTGTGGCAAAATGGCGGTCCTTCGTCTTTCCGCGGCATCTGTTGCCCTTCTGACCAGGTTCTATTTCAGCACCCGTCCGCTTAAAATTTCCCTGATGATCTATTTTCATATTTGAGTTCGGCTTAAAATAAGACACTCCAAAATGTGGTGGTCTAAAACCTAATTTTCTCAGTAGAACAATTATAAATGAGGGTATACCGAAACTTCGGAACCCAGTTTCCATTGCTCATTGTTTGGATCGTTATAGTCCATAGGAAAAGCAGCATGTTTCACCATATTTGTACCCAAAACATGCGTCATAGTTCCATGGAAGGAGATGGCTATCCCCCGGATTCCCAATGATGGGATGGCCATAGTTTTTTTTCAGCTCTGTGATGCTTAAAAGTCAGATATTCCACTTGTTTCCATATGTGTCCATCATGATTTTCTATGTTCATGTTCTTCATAGAATTGGATTATGGGAAAATTTACAGGAAACCTCTATATTTAATGGTAAAAACCATGGTTTCCTGAAAGTTTTCCCTTAAACCAATCCAGTGAGTTCTGCCATCTTTCCTCTGATGGGTTTTTCTCCAGCCAAGCCTGGCGCACAGGCGCAGAGGGAGCTCGAGCGATTGCAGGGCTTGGACATTGATGAGTTGTGGCTCCAGGAGCCTGGTTTCGGTCATCCGAAATACCAGGTGATGGCCCGAAATACCAGTTCTAAGTGGGCTGAAAATGTGATATATAACTATATATAAGCTTAGTTGAATAGTTATAGTTCCATGGTTATCAACCATTTACCAGCCAAGATTATTGTTAACAATAGTCAATATGTCAATATCATGTATCAATGTGGTAAATTTTAAATAAATCTATATAAATAATCAATACCATTTGCAATCCACCATGCTAGGTTAATCTTAGATAGGTAGAACACGGTAGAAACTAATCCAAAATAGTCTTTTGGTATGGGATGATCTACGCTCACCAGCTAAGTTTTTTTTTTTTTTGCAGGGCATCTAAGATTGGCACTGGTTTGCTGCGGCCCTACGTTTGCGCACCACGAATCCCGCGTACGTTCTTTTTTTCGCCGCGGTGGCCAGTGTTTTTGTTCATCGGGTGACAAGTGTATGATTCCAATGTGGTCAAAACAATGCTATAAACTATCCATGACTGGGAATGGTAACCATACCACCCATTTATGGTGGTTTGGGGGATGGTTTATTATTGTTTTAACCACATTATGATTAAATTATTTGGATGTGTTATTTGGATGGTGAACGTGGGGTTGGCGCCTGGTTGTTGAAATTATCGTTTCAGTAGGATGATAATGGGATTATGATGGGATAAAACTATATAACCAAGAGTTTAGATTATATATTGGATAGAACTATGTAACTATATAACCAAAGGATAGAACTAATATAACTATAACTATTGGCTTACTTACTACTGTATTTGCCATTCAACAACCACGGACATGTACTGGACGAAAATTGAATGTGGATCAACTCGGTGTGCTTGGTACAAATTGTATCAAACTGTTATGTTTACCAAGCGAGGCCCGGCAAACATGTCCATTATGTCAGACTGGCCATGTATTTTTGTTGGAACAGAATGGGGAATATCATTGGATTAGGAGTTTACTAGCCCAATCTTAATATTCTAACTATTTTTTCAAAATAGTTATTATTTTTATATTTTATTATAGATAGCAGTAGCTACAAATTGATATGGTGATGTATGCAACACATTTAACGGGATAAACAACAAATAAGAAACATGATTGGGATGTCATGGGATGTGCTTAAACACTGGCTATGGATGGGGATGGGGATGCATACTAGCTAAAAGGCCTTTTCTCCTGCTTTGCTGTAGGAAATCCAATCACTCGGCGATGTTAACCTTGGGTTAAGATGCTCCTTGTTGCTCTGATTGATTGTGGTTACAGTAGTTTAGCTGCAGGGCGACCACTATTTACCAATGTCATAGGAATTGATGGGCAAATCTTAGCGACTTACAAAGCAAATCAAGACAAAACTTAACCATCGATTATTGGGGTTTTACCTTTACTATGGGGTAGAACTGGTGAGCCATATGGATATACTAAGTGGATGATTAAGCATTAAATAGAGTTTTTTGAACCAGAACGAACGTTGTATGAGACGACAACCACATATGTCGACCTTTTCTTGTTCCTATATACTAAAATGGAATTTGTTTGTTGTTGTTGTTGTTGTTGTTGTTGTTGTTGTTGTTGTTTGCGTACGGATTGTCGATTTCAAAACAAGAAACAACAGGACTGGCTGGAAAAAATACAACCCACCTCAGGATTATCCCTGCAAAATGTGCCAAAACATAGCCCACATGCACCCAACTTTACTTGGTACATGGTGTTTCTAAGTAAAGGATGTGGGTTCTAAGCAAAAAGGTTCTAAGTATATAAGGTGTGTTTTTGTTTAGTTATATATATATATATATATTTTGGTTCTAAGTATAAGTCCGTCGCTATACTATACATGTTTCAAACCTGCATTGTCTTACCTTCCAGTTTCCCTAAGCTGCCAAATTCTTCGACCCGGGTTCCATCCACACTATTTTTGTGGTTTAAGGGTTGATGAAAATTTCGCAAAGGCTGAGTGGTCAGTGATTCCACCCCATCCCTGCTTCAAAACCCATAAAAGTTGACGGTTGTTTTATTCCTGAAGGAGATCAGTTTACATGGCAATTTCATTGGTTTTTTTCGAGGTGCACATGACCCTACACGGCTCACAGTGGTGCCCATGGGTCACCATGAGCCACGGGCAGGATTTACAGAGCTTCCGAGAGCAGTACCTCAAGGTCTGAGTGGAAGATCTCCATGGAATTGCTGTGAAGCCCTTGAACTCGATGTAGTTTGTCAACACATGTGGGTGTGTATAAAATTGGACTATACCCTCCGACATTGACACGTCGGAGATGTTAATAGGCAAAACGATGATTTAACAGTAGATTTAGGGGTATTCTATTTTCAGACGAACCCATATCCACCCGTTCACCTAGTGTCGGGCATTAAATTCAAGCCCGGCTGTTTCCTTTGCCCTCTCGACCATGCATTGGTTAGTTTGCCAACTTTAGCAACGCCAGCATGTTAACCAAATCCACATCAGCGTTCTTTGCCCAGAAAATTTCCGCGTGATTGTTGATTAATATCCACATTGTTGGTCCAATTCTCAAGTTTCACTCAGCTTGTCTATGTTTGTTTGCAACATCCAACATGATTTTTGGGTTTGCGAGCCGCCATTCTTGTGGGCTAAATCCAATCAGAAACGCCAAAAGAAATCGCGGATGGCCAGGTAAAAGGTGAGACAACGATGCATACACCGGCGTTGTGGGAACCTCAATTCATCAACGGAAGGTTTGTTGGTGTGACTGAAAATACGGATATGAACATAGATGAAAATAGGCTATCCCTAAACCTACTGGTGAAATCTGGTGAATCATTGTTAACTATTCCTAGTAAAACGGCAATTTTTGCATTGCGACATTTTCAGACCCATTTGTTGTAGATCCCAGAGATTGACTCATAACCACCTTCAAAACAGTGGTGGAAACATAATGCGCGCATCAAATTGGAATTGGCTAATACAAAAAAACATCACGCTTGTAGGTCAAAATTGCACCCAAATATCATCTTACTAAATTGTTTTAAAATCCATACTCCTCTCAATTCAGCAACACCATATCACTACAATAAAGCATCTTAGCATTGCATTTCAGAAAGCGAGTAAGAATGCGAGTAATTTTGAGTGCACGTTCCTTGTCGAAGATTCGGTGAAAGAACTGCTTCAACTTGACCTGGTTCAACTTGACCTGGAAGACTGCAGTCTAAAAAAACAGTTAACTGAGAGATTTCGTTACCTTAATGCGGTGCATCAAGAGGAATCGAAAGACTGTTTGGGTTTCTCAGAAACAGCGGCGAAGCGAAGCTTAGATATCAATGGTCAAAACACTGTCGAAACATAATATGGGTTTGTCTTTGTTTGCATGAAATGGGGTGCCCCCAGAATCCACTGATTGATACTGATTGATCATCATGCTTTCAAATAGAATTGCTGATTCTTTTGAGGACACACCGACACATTGTTGGTTGAAGATCCGATGGTATCTCCATATTTCCCCAGTTTGCATTGCCATAATTTTCTGCGAAAACTACTGATACCATCAAAAGATAGTCTTGGTAACAGTTGATTAATCACATTAAATTATATTTGTTTACCTTGAATTACATCATAAATTGGTACAACCATGTACAATCCAATAGTTGTTTTATAACTGTATAACCCCATTGAAACCACACCGTATTACAACCTCCATGTTTCGGCCACGTCTGCCAGGAGCGACGAAGACCTTGACGCGGCCCTGAATCGCTTCAGTAAGGACCCCTCCACGCCACGCCACGTGGACGGGAGGCCGTTTGAGACATTGGAGCAGTGTTCAAACCCCCTGTTGGTTCGGGGATTAGTTCGGGGATTATTCTACCCTTCATATATTGGGGATTCTACTAATCCACTAGGGAAATCCCTATAAACCAACCACTAAAGGAATGATAGAGGGATTTTGAAAGGTTATGATACTTGTATGGGTGCAATATGGTGCAATAAAACATGTTGTATACCCAAGGCTACCATCATTTTGATGGTGATGATATTGATTGACCAGTGGAAGGAATGGGGTATCCAATGTTCAGACAGATCCACATAGATGTTGGAAAAAGGAAATGATATATATATATATATACGTATATTATATCATATATATATACAAGCGGTGGTTTTGTCCATTTGTATCCGTGTGTCAGATGTTTACTGCAGGGTAGTTGGATGGGTTTTCTTGTGGCTTAATAGGAGGTTGTTTCAGCATTTGAGCAATTAATGGGGCACAACATCAAGGTTGTGTATTGCAAGTAACTACAAGTAGATCTGTTTGCGGGCTGCCAGCGTTTGCTGCAGGCTTGTCGTCGTTCGAGCAATCTCCCTGGGCGTTTTGGCAGATTTGGCACTGCTGACAGCCAGGAAGGTGGACGCCACTGGACGCCAATTTGGCGCAGAGACACACTGGAATCGTTAATTCACTGCAGAGGAAGACATGCCAGAAGGTATATCAGTATATCAGAAAGTGACACAAAAGTTGCGCCTGCTGGTGACGTCTTTGATTTATTTTGTGTTTTTGTTTCCAGTCTGGCGTTATTGCTTCTTGGCTTCAAACTACACCTTACATATATTGCATTTATTACATATTATCACAATTGTTTATTATATTTTGAACCAACACTATGATAACAATTTAACGAACAATATCCAAATACTGACGAGTGAGTTTGCAAAAGTGATGCTCATAGAAAAGGTGCCTGAACCTTCCTAAACCTTTGTATCTTAAATATATATCTCAAATATATATATATATATATAGATAGTATATATATATATATGTATGTAGTGGTATAACATAGTATAACAAATTGGGGTGTATTACAATTTGAACATTCAGAGACAGTCTTCTAAGTGTTTGCTATCCTCTTGTAAACGTTTACATATCTATGGAAAATCACGTTTTTTTAATGGGTAAATCAACGAACTCAATGGCCATTTTCAATAGCTATGTTAGTTTACCGAAGGGTACAGGTTGTCTCGCCGACTGCACGACAGGAGAGACGAAGGTGGCTGACTCGAGTGGACGTTTCTGACGAGGTGAAGCAAGAGAGAGCTATGGAGAGGGTTTCCTGAAATCACCATTTTTTTTAATAGGATTTTATACAATGTAAGGCCCCCAAGATAGCTAAGTTGGTTTAGATAAGCCCCAGTAACATCCACTAACTAGTTCGTTATTTGCGTACCATAAGCCATAGTTATTGGAGTTATAAACCAACTGAACGCTATCTTGGGGGCCTCACATTGTAGGTATGTTAGTATTGGGGGGGTGCTCCTAAAATAAATGAGGTACCCCTAAATGGCATTAATGGTATTAAAATGGGGTACCCCAGTCATCTTCCATTTTTCATTGGGATTGTCATGGATTTTCCATGAAATAAACCATCCAGCTCTTGGGTACCCCCCATTTATGGAGGATGTTATGATGGACCTTCATGGTGATTTCACAGCAAAAGCTACGGAAAATGATGAACATTGGCCATTTTTCATACATGAAAAATACCATTGAAAGATGATACACACAATGATTTAGTTATTGAACATGTTGATTTTCAAGTTCGCTATTTTGATCACCAGCGGGTATTTGTAATGTAATGTAGGATACAGATTCGTACAGGGGGGTCCCCCCCAACAAATTTTAGATACGCAATAGTGTGGAAAAAACAAGGGGCCAGGTACACAATAGTGTGGAATAGAAAAAAATGATAGATTTCAATTGATTTCAATTTACTTTGAATTGATTTCAATTTATTTTCAATTTATTTCAAATTACTTTGAATTGATTTCAATTTACTTTGAATTGATTTCAATTTACTTTCAATTGATTTCAATTTATTTTCAATTGATTTCAATTTACTTTGAATTGATTTCAATTGATTTCAATTTACTTTCAATTGATTTCAATTTACTTTCAGTTTGCTTTCAATTGATTTCAATTTATTTCAAATTAATTGCTTTCAATTGATTTCAATTTACTTTCAATTGACATCCCATAGTAATCCCATAGAAAAATCATAGAAATATCATAGGAATCCCACAGAAATCCCATAGAAAGATCATAGAAATAACATGAAATAGCATAGGAACCGCAAAGAAATCACATAAGAATTCCCATAGAAATCCTCTAGAAATATCATAGAAACATCATGGAAATACCTTGGAAATCCCACAGGAATCCAATAGATACCATAGAAATCCCATAGGAATCCAATGGAAATCCCATAGGAATCCATAGGAATCCCATAGAAAGACCGTCGACATCCCATAGAAATCCAATAGTAGTCCCAAAGAAATACCATAGAAATACCATGGAAATCCCATAGAAATCCAATGGAAATCCCATAGACAGATCATAGAAATAACATGGAATAGCATAGGAACCACAAAGAAATCCCATGAGAATTCCAATAATAATCCCTAGAAATATCATAGAAACATCATGGAAATACCTTGGAAATCCCACAGGAATCCAATAGAAATTCCATAGGAACCCAATAGAAATACCATAGACATCCCATAGGAATCCAATGTAAATCCCATAAGAATACCATAGAACTCCCATAGCATCCCTTTAGAAATCCCATAGAAATGCTCCAGGGATATCATAGAAACATCATGGAAATCCCATAGGAATTCCATAGAAATCCAATAGTAATACCATAGAAATACCATAAAAGAAAAAAAGCTTTTAGCAAAGGAAAAGGTAAAGGGAATGTTTGAAAAAAAATCACCCCAGGAAGCATCTGGACACAATAGTGTACCCCCAAGCAAACCACACTATTGTGGATCAGGGTTGCTCATGGACTACCCCCTTGAAAAATTGTTTGGGTGATGTTTTTTAATTGGGTTTTAATTAGGCATCATATATTTTGGGAAATTGTGCATTTCTGAGAATTTCAAATGAAAGAAACTAATTAAGAAAATTTAGGAAGTAAAAGAAAAACTTTAGAAAAGGAAAAGGTAAAGGAATTGTTTGAAAAAAATCACCCCAGGAAACAGCTGGACACAATAGTGTACTCCCCAAACAAACCATACTATTGTGTATCAGGGTTGCTCATGGACTACCCCCTTGAAAAATTGTTTGAGTGATGTTTTTGGTGTCGGCGCTGTTAAGGGGCCGTGTGCTGTCTTCATTTTTTTTCTTTTCTGTGTTCTTCTTGTCATTTGGGGGGGTGGGGGGTGGGGGGGGGTGAGGGGGGGATGTTAACGTTCTTTGCGACTGCTAGGTTTCTCTTGCACTTCCACACATACGTCATGCATCGTCATGCTACGCTACTGCTAGGTTTCTCTTGCACTTCCACACATACGTCATGCAAGGGGCTGCAAAGCAGCAAGTGCCTGGCAAACGATTAAAGTTTGAACAAGCGTGGTGAGTTTGTGAAAGGTTTGGGTCGCAAACCACGTCCCTGCGCTTCTTCTTTGGCTGGCACACAGAGTTTGGATCGGCGCTGGGACTGGTTGAAGAAGCCACTCCCTCGACAGCTCCACACTCATAAAGATGCCCGCAAAGACTTCCAAAGTCTGTGGCAGTACCTGTGGTCTGCGGTCTGGAGAAAGCATGCCGGCCCACAGGTGCTCGAGAAGCTGGGACAGCTCGCAAGGAATGTATAAAAGTTGGCAAAGCTGTGCCTGTGAATCCCTTAAAAGGTCAATATTCATGTCACACAAAGTTTCGGAAACAAGGGTTGTCATTAAAAAATGCCATTTTATGAGGTAAAACCCTCAAAAATCAACATTTTCGGTGAACACTACGTGGTTTTAAGCTCATTCAAAACAACATGATACGAAGAAAATGTTTAAAAAAACCCTCACGAAATTGAAATTGAACAATTATGATGGAATGTAGATCTTACACCACTGCACGGCCTCTTATCAACGCCGTTACCATGTTTTCTAATTGGGTTTTTATGAGGCATCACATATTTTTTGGAAATTGTGCATTTCTGAGAATTTCAAATGAAAGAAACTAATTAAGAAAATTTAGGAAGTAAAAGAAAAACTTTAGAAAAGGAAAAGGTAAAGGGATTGTTTGAAAAAAATCACCCCAGGAAGCATCTGGACACAATAGTGTACCCCCAAACAAACCACACTATTGTGTATCAGAGTTGCTCATGGACTACCACCTTGAAAAATTGTTTGGGTGATGTTTTTAATTGGGTTTTAATTAGGCATCATATATTTTGGGAAATTGTGCATTTCTGAGAGTTTCAAATGAAAGAAACTAATTAAGAAAGTTTAGGAAGTAAAAGAAAAACTTTAGAAAAGGAAAAGGTAAAGGAATTGTTTGAAAAAAATCACCCCAGGAAACAGCTGGACACAATAGTGTACTCCCCAAACAAACCATACTATTGTGTATCAGGGTTGCTCATGGACTACCCCCTTGAAAAATTGTTTGAGTGATGTTTTTGGTGTCGGCGCTGTTAAGGGGCCGTGTGCTGTCTTCATTTTTTTCTTTTCTGTGTTCTTCTTGTCATTGGGGGGAGGGTGGGGGGTGGGGGGGGTGAGGGGGGGATGTTAACGTTCTTTGCGACTGCTAGGTTTCTCTTGCACTTCCACACATACGTCATGCATCGTCATGCTACGCTACTGCTAGGTTTCTCTTGCACTTCCACACATACGTCATGCAAGGGGCTGCAAAGCAGCAAGTGCCTGGCAAACGATTAAAGTTTGAACAAGTCAAACACAATCGTGGTGAGTTTGTGAAAGGTTTAGGTCGCAAACCACGTCCCTGCGCTTCTTCTTTGGCTGGCACACAGAATTTGGATCGGCGCTGGGACTGGTTGAAGAAGCCACTCCCTCGACAGCTCCACACTCATAAAGATGCCCGCAAAGACTTCCAAAGTCTGTGGCAGTACCTGTGGTCTGCGGTCTGGAGAAAGCATGCCGGCCCACAGGTGCTCGAGAAGCTGGGACAGCTCGCAAGGAATGTATAAAAGTTGGCAAAGCTGTGCCTGTGAATCCCTTAAAAGGTCAATATTCATGTCACACAAAGTTTCGGAAACAAGGGTTGTCATTAAAAAATGCCATTTTATGAGGTAAAACCCTCAAAAATCAACATTTTCGGTGAACACTACGTGGTTTTAAGCTCATTCAAAACAACATGATACGAAGAAAATGTTTAACAAAAACCCTCACAAAATTGAAATTGAACAATTATGATGGAATGTCGATCTTACACCACTGCACGGCCTCTTATCAACGCCGTTACCATGTTTTCTAATTGGGTTTTTATGAGGCATCACATATTTTTGGAAATTGTGCATTTCTGAGAATTTCAAATGAAAGAAACTAATTAAGAAAATTTAGGAAGTAAAAGGAAAACTTTAGAAAAGGAAAAGGTAAAGGGATTGTTTGAAAAAAATCACCCCAGGAAACAGCTGGACACAATAGTGTACCCCCAAACAAACCACACTATTGTGTATCAGGGTTGCTCATGGACTACCACCTTGAAAAATTGTTTGGGTGATGTTTTTTAATTGGGTTTTAATAAGGCATCATATTTTTTTTGGAAATTGTGCATTTCTGAGAATTTCAAATGAAAGAAATTAATTAAGAAAATTTAGCAACTAAAAGAAAAACTTTAGAAAAGGAAAAGGTAAAGGGATTGTTTGAAAAAAATCACCCCAGGAAACAGCTGGACACAATAGTGTACTCCCCAAACAAACAATACTATTGTGTATCAGGGTTGCTCATGGACTACCCCCTTGAAAAATTGTTTGAGTGATGTTTTTCAATTGGGTTTTAATCAGGCATCATATACTTTGGGAAACTGGGCATTTCTGAGAATTTCAAATGAAAGAAACTAAGAAAGTAATTAATTAAAAGAATAAAAAACTTTAGCAAAGGAAAAGGTAAAGGAAATGATTGTAAAAATCAAAATCATCACCTCAGGAAAGCAGCTGGACACAATAGTGTATCCCCATACTTTTGTGAACCTGGATCTTATTTTCTGTGGGAGGCATCTGGAAAATTTCAATGATGGGAAATAAAAAGTAAAAAACAAAACTTTAAAATACTTAAAAAAATGAAAGCTCAGAAACAAGACCAAGACACAATAGTGTACCCCAGTCACAAGACCAAGGCACAATAATGTATCCTGACACAATTAATTATAAAGTAAATATAATGTTTAAAATTGTAAAATTAAAAATTGAATATATATATATATATGTATATATAAAATGTAATGTTTAAATTTGTTAATTTGTTAAATTAAAAAATGAATATATATATATATTAAAAAGCCAAATTAATATTATATATTTATTAAAATGCTAATTAATTATCAATTTAAAATAATTGAGCAAAAAAGTAGAAAATAATTTAAAACAATTTAAAACTTAAAAAACAAAAAAGTGGAAAAACACTTACACCAAAATCCTGTGGACACAAAACTGTACCCTCGATCACTTCCAAAGATACAGAATAATTTTGGAGTCTGTGGACACAATTCTGTATCCCCACGCTAATCTGTATACCACATTATATCATGTTAAACAATATGCTCAAATTATCCACACATGAAAATGTATTGATGCCTTCAATCTTAAATCAATCATTAACCGTTCCACGACTGGGCTGCCCGGAAAGGAACACAAAATCCGATGGTCGATGGTTTGTGGGGTATATATCCCCTTCCATGTCGGGATGGGCTGCAAACGACAGTCTTCAATATTCTGAAAGTAAAAAGACATTGAATTTCACAGATGAAGTCGATATTAAGTATCGATAGTTTAGCATATGTTTAGCACTCATCCTAATTTTTTCGAGTGTTTAAATATTCGGTCGTTCTTAGTCGTCCTTTGGAATGAAAATCGGTCTACCTGGTGACCTCCGAAAAAGGGGAGATGGACATCCAGCCCCCCATTTTCGATTCAGGTCGCAAGAACATCCGTGAAATTTCAACGCTAAACGAATCACTGAATGCCACAGATTCAGCTGTGATTTTGTGGTCCATACTGTATGTTTAATGCAGTATGATACAGAAACCGTGCAATATACATCACTGGCTAGATAGAAAGATAGGAATATATTCATACATAGAAAGACCTTGAAAGACCCCTATATACCGATATAGATAGATCGAGAGAAGCCAAGTCGATAGATGGACGGACGGATTGATATCAAGATAGATAATGATAGATATAAAGATAAGGAATTGGTGGATTAATAGGTGAATAGACAGATGAAGAAACTGATAGATAAACAGATATAGGTCCTTCCTAGCAGTATCTTCGCTGCTTTAGCCCTGCTGATATGTTCCACGTGTCAGGTGTTCAACGTCGCGATATTGTCCAAGCTGACCAGACCAGAGCTGAAGGACAGCGCTCTCCGGTATCCCCAATGTGCATTTCAATGGGAGAATATGGGTAAAGCAATATGATTTGATCCGCCATCCCCAGTTTGCCGATTTTTATGGGTATAATTTTAAAACCACAATCCAAAGTTCCATTCACAAATGACATGCTGGGCCCGAAAGTCACGTGGGCTGTGATGCTTCTCGATTTTGCGAGTCGATTCCCTCATCTCCCGGAATGGCAGGTCACTCAAAATTTGCGTCGGCGCGTTTGCCAATTTCGTTTTCGATTTCAACGATTGACCGTTCTGAAAGGTGTACAAGTCACTGACTTCAAGCATGCAAACTCCTTGAAAGATTTCCATCTCGGCCGGCTAAGTGGATGTTGTGGAAGCTTCAATCCTTCTTCCCCTCTTCGTGTTTGGTTCTCTTTGGTTAAGTTTAGTTTGTAGAGTGCTCTGGCACTCCTACAGCATTCGATTAGTATCGATCTCGGTTCTCTTCGCGGGTACCCTTTTTCACTTGATTCAATCATCTTGCGTCTTGATTCCCACACTCGTGATTTATGTTGCTTTTCCTTTGAGATCTCGTGTGGGCCTCAGAGTGATGCGGGGAAAAATAAGTTGTTTTTTGCTCCACAAATCATCGACGTAAATGGAGCTTTGACTAGGGAGTGAACTCCCGAATCATCGTCATTGTGGCCGTATAATCAACGAAACAACGGTGAAGACTATCCTTAATTCTTCACCAGGATCTCGGACTGGTAAAAATGATGTAAAAACGATGAAACCCATATGGTATTGCAATTTGGCCAACAAAGATGGTGATAGAATCCGTACATTATACATATATATATATAACAATATATATATATATATATGTGTGTGTGTTCCTCAAAATTGGAGTACCCCGAATAATGTGTTTCATTCTTAAACATGAGCACTGCTGGATGATGTTTGGGTCCCCTTTTTTTAGGGAAACCCTCACATTACGGTTGGTTGTGGAAACCGCGGTTGGGTAGTTGAATTGCTCTCATTTTGTGCCATAGAGAGTGGAAAAGACAGCATTATACTCTGCTATACATCGAAATGGGATGGCTGTTCCAAAGGGTTGCCGCCTAACATAAATACAAGTATTGTTGGTTCACATCACCTACTATTGCTCATCATTATTGTATTTTGCTGATTCATTATCCATTTTGTATTTCACTATCTCAGCCACTTGTGGTTCCGACATGCTCCAAAAATCATTTAAATGCCCATGAGTGAATCATGCACAACTGGCCCAAATTCAGCAAAGCGGGTTCATAACTAGCTTAATTGTTGGGTTTATGGTGGATATCCATTTAGTTGGTTGGATCAACACAAGCCAACCCATAAGTGCCGGGGCCTCTCTTGCATGTGGTTTACCCATGCTTACCCGTTATGGAAGTTGAAACATCTGATTTACCAGGGGTATTACCCATCATAGCTCAGAATATTCCGCATATGTTTCTAACATGTTTAAAGTATATTGTTTAAGGTAGTCGAGATATTTCAGCAAGACTTTTTGTTATTAGTGCAATATTTGCAAGTTGGAATGCCTTCCGCTATGTGACTGCTTTAGCTAGCTCCATGTTCAACCCAAAACCTTCGATATGTTTTGTTTTTTAAATATCTATCCATTTTAAACATGCCCTTCAGCAATAAGATTTGTTTCCAGAACTTGACACAGGACCGCGCCGAACAGCTAGGTGCAGCCCAGCGTTGAGTCGTTGAGTCGATCCGTGGGACGAAGGGTGTTGGAAGATTTCACCCTTTAGATTGGGATCTCATCAACGAGACCAGACAGCGAACATGGCATCGAACCAACAAAAATGGAGATTCTCCCAGGAAAAAGGAGGTCTTTCAGCAGAAACAAATTCTGTAGATTCTATCAACAGACATGGATACTGAGCCTATCTGATCCTGATATGTTCACATTTACAGCGTACGTTTTGGGGACTTTCGCCTGGTGGTTTTTTGTACAGTTGAACCTCCAACTGGCGAAATCTGCTCGTTGAGGAGATTTCGTCAGAAGCTGCAAGAGTTCACAACACTCTTTTGCGATGTTCACCTTCCAAAATGAATGATAAAGTCAATCATTTACAGTTATGGCATGTTATTGCCCTTTACCAGTTGTAAGTCTGTTAAAACCCAATTTATGGAATGATATCCTTTTTACAACCATGGATAACTATTTATAACTGGTAAAGGGCTTGAACTGTATGAAATGAAGTCATCCAGTTTTCCATCCCGATTTGGGGTGTCCATTGTTAATTGGTTTACCGCTTGTCCTAATGTTTTTTGTGGTTTATGATTTTGAGCCTTCAAATGCTTTATCATACTTTATCAAAATGTTCTCCGTTGAAATGCCGGTTTTGGGGCATCCCTTCAAACCCATCTCCACGAGCAAAAAAACAATGGTTGTGACTTTTCCTGCCAATCCACTTCTTTTCCGCTGCACCTGGCTGCAATGCAGGTTTGGACATCCGGGGCAAGCTAAACAAACAGGACGCCAGCAGTCGCAACGCCGCTGGCTTCAGCATCCTTTCAGCAAGCGTCTTTAGTGTGGATAATCCCGGTTTTTTGATTGTTTGCATAACTGTTTTCTTTCAGCCGGCGTTCTGGCCCCCACTTTGAGTTCATGACATGTAAAACTTCTGCTTATACTTTCTTTTTGACTATAGCGGGGAGTCACCGGGGTCCCGGGGGGTTCAAAAACCAACGAAGACACCTCCCCAGGACTCGTGTAAAGGTACACGCAGGACTTCGGTGGTGCACCTGGGCGCATTTGAGTTGCAGCCGGTGGCCACCGTAGTCATACGATGTCATACGTATATATTTATATATATATATAATTTAATATGATATATTCATGTTTGTTTCAGGTTTTACGGGATTCAGTTCCCGACGGATCACTCCAATGATCCAGTTCTTGTCTAGTGCGTGTGTGTGTGTGTGTGAGGGATGTAAAAATTCTCATTTTTCTCAGTAAATGCAGGGCACAGGTGTGACTCTGGTTCCCGTGCCACCAAGACGGCCAGATGTCACAGTGATATCAGAGGGAGACGTCCTTTTGAGGTACCTGCAGAATCAATAATCTTGTTTAATTACACGTTGTGGGATTCAGTTCCCGACGGATCACTAGAATGATCCAGTTCTGTTCGAGTGTGATTTCCATGGTGGCTCCGACATGGTGCCATGGACCCAAGTGAGGGAACCCTCTTTAGGGAGAATGCTGACAAATGGACTTCCGAATTCACACATTTTCACCTGGTAATTTGTCTACGTAAAGTGTAACAGTTCGCCTTACTGTTACCAGTCCTTTCGTCTCGCTGATCCTGCCGTTTGTATCGCCGCCCCCGGGAAATTCCAATTCTGCTCAAGTGAAGCTGCTCCAGCTGCATCCATGACCATGGAACACTACACGTCAGGCTGAGGCTACATGCTTTCAGGTGTGGTCTACTTTCTTTTGATGGTTCTCCGGTGAGCTTACGTACAATCTAAATTTTATGTATACATATATATATATATATATTATGTTGTTTTTGAATATATTTATTTATTTATTTATATATTTATTTTTTATTTATATATTTATTTATTTATATATTTATTTATTTGTTTATTTATTTGTTTTTTTATTTATTTATTTTTATTTATTTATTTTTATTTATTTATTTATTTATTATATACAAAACATACATATATATATATATATATATTGAAACCGTATATATATATATATATATATATCACCATAACTATAGGGGTTATATCCCCATGTCTTTACCCATACCGATATGCCTCGCTGAACCCCCAAATGCCAAATCCTGGAACTTGGATCTAAGTTGACAGAATCAATGTTCACCGAAGCCGGGTTTGATGATTGCTTTTGTGGATCAAACGTGGAGTGCTGCAAAATCACACATGAAAGTGATGATGCTGAGTTGCTTTCCCACTGCAAAAAAATGTGTTCCAGCCAGCCGGGGTAGATGACCAAAGGGCAACCATCAAGCAATTGATAGTTTCCAAATGTTGCTGGTGAAAACATGGTGGTTTCATGATTATTTGATACTACATGTTTTGTTGTACATATACGTGCACGTGTACATACATACATGTATGTATGTATGCATGTATCGCGCACATGATTTTTGGCTTTACCATGTATTGGGGGACCAAATGCCCCATCACCAAAAAGAGAACAGCAACCCCATCTCTCTATTGTTACCTCCCTGGAAAAAAAACCTTCACAGCCTGCACTCTCTGAACTGACATGGCTACTCCCAAGAGTCAACTCAGAAACCGGTAGTTAAGTGGTGATTTCGCCATCAAAAATCGCGACGGAACCACTGTGGGCAGCTCAGTAGTGTTTGATTTGTTGGTTTCAAACATCGAACAGAAGGGCGGGTGGTTACAATCAACCAGCACCAATACGGGGAATATAGCCATTAAAGATATGGATATATTGGTTGGCGGGGGTTTACCAGTCAGATTGGGGCAACCAGCAAATATGGGGGATCTAGCCAGCAACTGGCTAGTCAATGGCTTGTTGCTTTCTTACCTTTTCGAACAATGATCCCAATTGATGTTTTTCTGGTGGCCTGAAACCACCGATCAAATCTTGAATTACTATGTTGTTTGAGCGACATGGAGCTCCGGACACCAGTGTGCTTTTGGAGGTTCGGGCGTGTCTTCGGCGGCACGCAAAAGTACGAAGCTTTTTGTCTCTGCATGCAGTCGCGCAGGTTGCGAAAGAATGATGGGACCTTGGAATGGCAAAGTGGTCCACTGCTTTGAATTGTCTACGGATTGTGCATTGTGGGTGTTACCACGCTGATGGTTGGTGACGGCACGAACATTGGCAACCTTGCGCCCCTAGGCAAGTTTTGGCTATGTTTTGGTTTTGCGCGCGCACATGGGCCAGGGGTCAACAGTAAACTTGCAGGTCGTTGGCAGCACTTGTTTTTTGATAATGAACCAGCTCGAACGCCAACCGCTTGCACGAGACGATTTCAAGCATTTGTCCAACCTTGTGAGGACATAGGTCTTGATAGGTTCAATACAAGCAAATTTGGTGCCTTTGGCTGTTTGCCTGGTCGCGGGGCAGGACATCATCGATACCTTGTTGACGTACAGCGTCATTGGTTTCAAGGAGAGGAACTGGCAGAAACTGACCGTAGGGAAACCCAAAATTTGGAGAGGGGCAGTGAGGATGTGGATGCGCCTGCTAATTTGCTGGATCTGCAGGTTGTCGACCTAACAAAAAGTCGGGTGTTCCGTGATTCGGGCTCCAATGTGTTCCCTTCACAGTCTTTATTTTCATGGTTACCCATTGCCCGCCTACCAGCTCAGGGTTTGTAGATTTTGGCAAAGGTGCAACTCTCCTCCTCCTCCTCCTTTCTCTTCTCCTCCTCCGACTTCTCCTGTTCGTTTCCTCCTCTGCCATCTCATCGTGACTGTGGGCATCAACGGATCCAAGGATGCAGTGGGGCATGCCTGGATGCCTGTACCCCAGAGTACCGGATGCAGTGAACGCTGGACCTGAACCGCAACGTTATGGATGTCACAATAGATGCCATCAGAAATGCCGGAATAGATGCTAAACATCATGCCAGATAGATGCCAGAACATATGCCAGATAAAATGCCGGATGGGATGTCAAAACGTCTGCCAAATGGAATGTCCGAACAAATGCCAGATAGAATGTCAGTGGGTGGGGATCACTCGAACAAAGTAAATGTTGATCCTGCATGATTTTGCATGATACACATGTTTCTTTGAGGGATTCGGGTTTACGTGGTTCATATCGTTTTTCCTTGGGGCTTAGGCACCCAAGTTCTTACTCAAATGTGTCTGCGTCATGGTTTTGTTTCTATCCCATCTATGGTTCCTTCTACTGTGGGCCATGGACATTGCATGTTTGTCCATTAATTACAAACATGTTCATGCAGTTTCAACCTCTGCAAGCACTGGAGCCAAAGCAGGACAGATTTGCTGCAGATCAGCAGTTGTTTTGGTTAAGTGGTAAGTCAGAAACTCGCCAGACTAAATAGTTGCACCATACCCACACGGAAGGGGAAACACGTCGCATGCATCTTGTTGAAAGATGCAATTCATTATCTACGCTGGGAGCTGTGCCGACGGCAAACATAAAGCGTTATAACATTTTTTGGTGATTCCAAGCCCAATGCTTCAGATGATGGCTGCCCCTGTCCTAACATTTGATACTACGAATGTTCATCCCCCATTCAAAACGGCAACATATGGTTTAAATCTTCGCGATTTTTGATGAATTCAGTATTCAATGACTAAAATGAATGGATTTTATTTTTCCCCATGCTGTAAAAACATATCCCCATGTTTTGCATACTCAACATGCTTTTGAATCCCCATTTTCGGAGGTGAATTCCAAAGTCCCATGGTGTTCCACGTTTTGTTCCGTCCCGTTTCTTGAGATTCATGGTTGAGGGGGCCATGTTTGATGATGACATTTCCAATATATTCAGGGGCACGACAGTTCGACGATTCCCATCAAACACCCGGGTCTAGTCATTTTGAGCCCCTTTATGGAAATTGAGGGGAAGGGATGCTTAGCTTAACATTATGCTGGAAAGTCCAATTTGCAAGTATATAGATTACATTTTTTCAGAAAATACATGAAAATATTATGTTTCGAGAACTGTTGATATTCATAGGCCGCCTGATTGTAATTTGGTTTATTTTCGAAAAGTTAAATTCTAGATATATCTACCGCTTAATAAACCTTATGTTCCCTCGCAAAATAATCCTATTCTTTGTTCAGTTGTTTCCTATTCTTGTCGATTCCCTAGTGATCCAAATACCATCTGAGACGGTGTTTGGACCCCAAAACCAACCCAAGGACAGTTTCAGAACGTGTTTGGAAATGTAGGGTTTATTCAATTCATTCGTATCGTTTGTTGTACCAGAAATAGTTCTTTTCCTGTGGTAATGAAACCATACATAACATATGGTTGTTTGGAGACATGATTTTTCAGCCAGATTGTTTTTGGGATGGATTACAGCCACCAACCAGCAATTTATTTCTGGTTGTTTCGGGTTCCAGGTCCTTCCTTCATCTTCCTCCCGCGTCTCAGGTTCCGGATCTTAAGGCACACCTGCAGATCCGCGGGCTCTCAGAGGTCGGACCTGGGCGGAACTTGGGGCAATGGGGGATCGACACATATTTATCCTTGCTGACATGGGCAGACACGGATAGAAATGACATGTTTTTCACAGCCCGAAAAAAATGGATATGGGAATGGTACGTAATTTTCAAAATCATTGGATATTCAACCCTAGCCCTGTGACGACGCCCCAAAGGTATGGGTTCAGCGTCCCCATCGACAACTAGCCGCAAGCCGCAAGCCACTCATCCCTGAACGCCTGGCCACTTATTCCAAGAAAATCAATCCTTTCATGAAACCGGAGTGGTTGCAAGCAGACCCCCGACGCAAAGTCTTACCATGATGATCAAGGTTTGCGGAAGGCTCCCAGTTGCCATGTTTCAATAAACCAACTAGCTGGGTTTCCCAAAGCAACTGCATGTCCCCTGCTTGTGTTGAGGGTGCCTTCAGAACCTTGCGCTGGGAATTTTCCATTATGCTTCCCTACCTGCTGCCACCTGCAGACTTTCATTTTTTTGCCAAACAAAGGCGGCGTATCCAAGATCAGCCAGGTGAACCCTAGTGAACCCACTAGGACAGGGGGATCTATGTGATTGTATAAAATCATGTTTTTTTTTTAATGTTGAATCACCAAAAATTGGCCATGGTAATAGGACCATTCATGATTAACCGTCATGGAATTAGGGTCATCCTATTTTCAGACAAACACTCGTTTGGCTTTTGTGGCATCCCATATTGGCCACAGTTCATGGCCGGGTTTCCCTGGAATGTTTTCCCGAACTGGGATGATCGTCGGATCCCATTGACAACATGTTCCAAGCGTTTCTTGATTACAACCGTTATTCGTCATCAATGGGTCACAAGAATCAACAAAATCCTTCTACTAACCATGAGTTACCCAGCTTGTAAGCCATTGAAGACTAGAAGGATGATTAGTAAGGATGTTAGAACCATCCTGATTAGTCACCAGATGTCACCGGTATTGGCATCTTTGCTGATGGAATCATACTTGCTAGTAGGAATCATCCTTACAGTCAGTCCATACTTGTATGTCAGCCATAATAACCCAATTCAATTGTATGGTCACAAATATGTTTTCAATCCCTCACCAATCTTTGGTTCCTGGGGGAGGGGATTAACATGGATTGGCCATAAGGACTGGCTAAATTATAGCAACTAGCAACCCCATTTGACCTCACCATAGAGGATGGTCAGTAGGTGAAATCATCCTCAAATTGCCAAACTTATCTAGTTTGAGAAATATCAGAAGTTTTCCAGACATATGGGGTCACTTGCCATTAATGGAGCCTCTAAGAACTTGACTTAGCTATTGGAAATTGCCATGCATATACAGCTGAATTTATGTAAAAAGGACGGTGACTTTCCATAGCAAACTGTTAGTTCACCAACGGGTTTACGGGTCTTCTAGTCAACCCTTCCCAGAGAATCACCAATTCCTACGTGCCCTGATCGTTCTTTCGGCCAGGTGGGTAACCGCCAGTCGCTGATCAACCGCTTGTGTGGTTCAAGGCAGTTGGGCCTTGGGGTTTGTGTGTTCGGTACGAAGACGTTGGTGCCCCACTAGATCCAAGAATGGTTATGTAACCAAGAAAATGGGGATGTCATGGGGTTTGTGGCTGATTGATGTTATCTAGGTTGGTTTAACGAGCTTCACGAGGATGAAAATGGTGATGATGTCCTCAGTTGAGGCATAAGGTGGTTGGTTTCAACCTGTGGCGGCGCCCCCCAGTTCTGTTGGTTGGTTGAAAAAACTTAACACTTATCAGCGTATTATAACCGCCATTATTCAGAAATATTATGCTATATTATACTTATTTATTCACCATAAAGCAGTTGCAACCAACCAAGTTCGCTAATTGTTGGGCACAAGCTTGGAGGTGGGAGGCAGCTGGCACCCTCCACAATTCCCCAATTTTGCATTGGTATCTGGGGGGTGTCGGAAACAACACTGTTCAACAAGGAATGAGGATTTAACCATCAATAGCTTCAGCTGTCCATGCGTTTTAATTTTGAGACCAGGTAAGAGGGAATTGTTAATTCTCGACAGTTTGGCCAGATTAGACATTAGAGGAGGGTTATGTCTCATGAATCTTAATAAAATGGCTGGTGAAATTCACCAGACATGCGATTTTTCCAACAGAAACTATAAAGACATGATCAATCCCTGGTTGGCGAGGTGTCACCCAAAACTTGAGCATTGCAAGTCAGTGTTTATTGCTATTGCCATGCCTCATTTTACAAGAATAGGGGGTCCATCACTGTGACCAAAAAAAGGTTGAGGTTACACACAGATTTTGGACATGCAAAAACCAAAAGATAGGAGTTTCGTGCACAACGATAACAGTCAAGCAATGAAGGTTTCTTTCCAAATCATTAGCATGGTCTGCATGGCAGGAACTATAGTTCCCAAATTGATAAAGATTCTACTTGGTTGCCAGAATATATAACATGGCCTTGCTTTTTTTGTTCGGGCACCGCTTGACCCCGATTTTTCCTCATTGCTAGGGTTAAACCATGTAATTTGGTGTAAGTGATGTTTTATCATAGAAAACCCATTGCTAGTGTCCTCCACAATAGGTGGGTTACATCACATATTGCTGTCACGTGAACCATCCAATTTGGAGGATGTAACCCGCCAACTCCTGTCAATGGGACACAACTGTCCGTTCCGAGGACGCCTCCCATAAGATTCAGAAAGCTTGCTCCCGAGATGAAGGAGGAGTGGCTTGTGCAACAAAAAACGGTGATGCCATTGGGATTTGATGAACGTTTTGGAGAGATATCATAGGCTTTACCATGGTTTAGCATCAGAAATATTGGAGGTTGATCAATGAGAGTGGGTTTCTGACGGTCGGAGAAGGTCGGATGTAATGTTGGTGACTGCATTTTTTTAAGTCATTCCACCTGACGCAAAATCAGAAGCAAGGGTATACACCTTCTTAAGTTGTTTGGAAAACTTGCTTCTATGTACCCAGGGAAACCATGGAAAAACTTACTGAGGAAAGTGCAAAAACCGATTTCTTCTTGTGCCCTGAATGAGCCACACACACTTAAAGTCAGGTGTAAAGAATTGGCCGAGAATTCGAGTTGTGGACAAACCCATTTTTTTTCCTGGTGTGGCTTTAAAACCACCACCAGATAATCGAATAACATGAGCTTCCTATTTGCCCACCGCGTGCTGATTGGACACCGAACTTAAACTGTTTCAGGGACTAAAGATCACGGATCCTCGCACCGTTCCTTGACTGGACACCGAAGCCGTTTCTGGGTAAGTTGATTCAGTTTTTTCCCCCCATGCCAGGTTTTCTAGAAGGTGCTACTGCTTCTCCTCTTCCTCGTCTCGCCTTACTGTGTGATCTCTGCCCGTCTGGATGCTGTGGGCACTCCTGGACCCGAGGGTTATATCGCGGGGTATTGATTGGGCCTAGACCCGACCGCCATATCGAGCTCAGGAGGCTGTGGAATGGGCTTCGGCCCGAATTCATGCCAGAGAGAATGCGAGAGAGAATGTGAGAGAGAATGCCAGTCAGAATGCCAGATAGAATGTCAGAATAGCTGCCAGATGGAATGCCAGAATGACTGCCTGAAAAGATGCCAGTTAGAATGTCGGAATATATGCCAGATAGAATGACTGAAAGAATGTCAGGTAGAATGTCAGAGTATTCTGTAAAATATTAAAGACATGAGGTCCCAACATGATGTTGAAAAAAAACATATTTCTTGGATGTGCAATATCTTCTATTTGAAATTGGCTTTTTGGGGCCCTTCTTCTATTTGAAATTGACTTCTATCTGATTTTGTTTGCTGTAAACTCACCTGAAGTGGCCTGGTGCTTGCTGGGCTTGCTGCGCTTGCTGCGCTTGCTGTGCTTGCTGTGCTTGCTGTGCTTGCTGTGCCTGCGTGCCAGCTGTGCTTGCTGTGCCTGCGTGCCAGCTGTACTTGCTGCTACTACTACTGCTGCTACTACTGCTGCTACTACTGCTGCTGCTGCCCTTCTGCTGCCCTGCTGCTGCCCTGCTTCCCTTCTGGCCTGCTGCTGCTCTGGCCTGCTGCTTATATGCCGTAAAATCTTCCAGATGTTATGTCAGAAACTATGTCAGAATAGTGTGTAAGGATGGGGATCACTCGAAGAAAGTAACTTGTTCAGCACGCTGGAATTGATCATACCCAAGTTTGATCAAACCAAGAACAAACATGTTGTGGCGTTATATATATATATATGCATACCACGTCCGAATTTTTGTTCAGCTGAAAAAGAAGCATGTCTTGGAATCGAAACCGGGTCCAAACTCAAACTTTGGACAAAAACAGTGTTTTCCTCCAAAGTATATCCTCCAAGGTTGGCCATGATCTTAGATCAGCCTAGGTTTCGCTACATGGGCCTCTCAACCGCTGGGGTCGTTTCGGAGTTGGAAGAGCGTTACTTGGAACGTCCCGGGCAAAGGTAGAAGTGGTGAACTTAACCAATGAGAACCAGGGTTCAGCCACTTCAAAAAATGATATCACCATGGTCATCCGCTCTGCACAGAACAGTCCACACACAGGTTTCCTAAAATATGGGTAGCCGAAATCGTTCAAAATCAGATCGTTTTCGTATTAAATCCTGTGGTTTTGAAGATTCCCCACTTTAAGAACCCCCCACATTCACTGATACCGAAATGTATCAAGATTTCATAGTATTTACATTATGCCAACTTACAGGGTTTCCCAATGGCTTAGAATCCAGCGACCATGCGAAATTCGAAATCCAGATGGCTTCGTCCAGAAAATAGGGACCGGGATAGCCACTGTGATTTAGATATCTGGGTATGTCTGAAAATGGTGTGTACCCCATTTTTCAGTACTTCATGGTAATATCGGGAGTTCAATGATAAACCGTATTAAACAGTCACACATTTTGGGTATAAACACCATGTTCTGACATATCCATTTACATAATTTGATGATCGGCCATGTGATTTTAGGTATCATGGTTTGGACTTGGACAAGCCCTTATTGTTTTTGTTGGTCGTCAGTTGAAAAAAAGATCAGATCCAGGAACAGAATGATGGAAGCGCAGTTACAAAGGGAGAATGGTATGCTTTGATTTTGTTTTTGAACAAGGTCGCCATGCTTTGACAACCATACGTCAATATCCTTGAGGTTGTTGGAAGACTGAACATTCAAGGGGAGTTTATTCAAGGAGAGTTGTGCGGAGTAGGTTGGTTTAGATCTGCGCACATGTGCACATGGCCAATCCCACAATGTCACAATGTTGTGCCCAAACCATCCGGAGATCCAACTTCTAGGTCCAGAGCTCATGGGCCAACAGCGCCCGATGTAAAACCATGCAGAGGAACCAGAAACTCGCAGCAGAAGATGCGTGGATAGACGCGCTTATCAATGGCACTGGCGTCGCGGGCAGCAGCTAGTGAAGAGCTAGAAGGTACTTGACGCAACTACGGGCTACTTGAGCTGGCGGATTGTGTGTATCAATGCTGTGGCCGCGAGGTGTTAAACATGTTTGACAACATGGATCATTCATCTCAAGATTTTTTGTCTGCTTTTGATTTGTTTGGCTCAGAGACGTATTGACATCAGGTCTGGAAGCAGCCGTTTGTTGCCCTCTTGAGCCAAAAAACACAAGTGAAACAACACACACACACGCACACTGCAGGTTAAATGATGTGGAAGAAGAGAAGGATGACTTTCATGTCCCCTTGCAAATTCCTGAAAATAAACGGCCTGACAAGCTGAGAAATCCAGACCCTTGAAATTCAAATCGAACAGATGCAAACACAGTACGGCGGTTAACAGAAGCTGAAGTCAACAGTCCAACTTATTAATAGCAGGTACGTGATCGAGACGTCCCTCAATCATATCCTGATGAATGGCTGGAGCTTCGTTGGATCAGGCCAGGCCAAACGTCCCTGATCCCCCTGCTTGATAGTACGAATTATCCATTAATACTGCATGCAACTAGCAGCTTACACACACACACATGGCCCCTCATTCGGAGGGGCAAAATTCTAAAGCGCACGAACCTTTTTACGACACCACTGCATCATTTTTTTGAGATGGCATTAAACGTCGCAAACAGCAGCAAATCTTGAATCTGAGCAGTCTGCAATTCTCAGGGGAATACATGATGGTGAATCAAGCGGAGACGAGCATAAAGACCACTCAACAAAGCAAATTGGGGTTCATACTAGCCCTCCGGCACTGCCGCAATATTTGGCCCGCGACTGTGAAGTACGAATGATCCAACAAAAGTGAGCTAAAGCCGGTAAATGCCCCAATGTTATGTTGAAAATATTGTTTCGTTTTGTCTCTCCAGTGTCCTTGAAAAACGCGAAGATTTCGTTCCAATTTCAAAATGTGGGCTTGTAGAACCGTATCTAATCCTTGTTTTGTTTTCATAGCATACCATGCATACGTGTACATCACAAACTCCACGGCAGCAACGACCATGTTCCACTCGGTTGTAAAATCCCGCAATGTCTGTGTGTTTAAACACATAGCCTGATTCCGCAAATGACTCGCTGGAGAAAAGTCTTGTGATCCCATGAATGATATGGTGTACATGTTCGAATTCCAAAATGAATCTGAAAACACTCTTCAGAATTTCAATGAGAACTGTAGAGACCGCGCCACCCAACTTCTTTGCCCAAGCGGATGAGTAGTCCACAATGGGCCTAGCTTTTCCCAATTGACGACTTGGTTTTGGCAAAATGCATCCTTTACTCAGAGTTGATTTCCGAAAATCTAACCCCCAAGAATATTCAGACTGAATCCACTGAGGCAGCTGCGACCTGATGTTGCGTAGTAAGTACTTGTCCCGCTGGTTGTGGGCATTGGACAAAGATAGATTTGTCCAGAAAGGTCTTCACAAGAAGAAATGCCACCGAGAAGGACAATGGAATGGGCAAAATGATCAGCAGGGGAGAGTACAAAACCTTGCAATAACCGTAAATCACGACGTACGTTAATCCACCGCCAGATCCATTGTGGACGTAGTGTCTGTTGACGTTCACAATGACGAACAGGAAAAATGACAAGATCATGGAAATTGCGAAGCCAAAGCTTCGGCGCAGTTTCAAACCCAAATGACCAGAACATAACTGTCGAATTTTGCGTAAACTGGAAGACATCATGCTCAGTGAATTCATCGTAATGCGACAAACTGTCCACTGTGCTAGTATCCATAACAGGATCCTCTGAAGCCCATTATATTGAGTAGGTCTTACGCTGATTGATGTAGAAATAATTCAGTCTTTGACAGAAGTGGATAGCTGCAAGCAATGGAAACTGTCCTTCGAGATGCACTTTGGCTACAAGAACATTGGTCAACCCCCAATCCGTCGTTCGCCCGCATTGAGGGATTCATGCTCTTCTTTGATAGAGGTAACCAGAGTCTCAACTGAAGACTGCTGTTCTTTTGGCACATACCTTTTCATCCACTGGGTAAGCTTACCTTTCGATTCTCCGGGTGCCGGAACGAATGGTGTGGTAATAGCCTTGTCCCGTGTCACCTCGAGATTTTGGGATTCCTGAAGTGGCAGGACTGACCGGCAGGGAAGGAGTAGCTACGTCAGCTAATTCACCCTTTAGCTTTGCGTTTTCATGACGTAGCTCTTCCATCTGTCTGAGCAACTCAGTTTGGCCATCCACTGGCAAGAAGGACACAACAAGTTAGAACAGTCAACGATGACAACACCACGCAAACAATTGTCTGACGACTTCAATATCAAGCTCAAACTGCAAGAGCGGAAATTGAGCACTCAACTCCAGGTACCACATGTTCTGTCTACATAGTCTACGGCACTCAAGCAGCTGTCGGACTTCTCCAATCTCAAACTGCTCCAAAGGAATATAAGAATTCAATTCAGGGTATCGGAGATCTAGTAAAAGAAGGGTAAAGTCACTTAGAGACATATACGAAACATGTGCAGAACACTAAGAGCAAAAACCTTATATGTAGTGTTAGAAGGAACTTAAAGAGGCAAAGGCTGAACATATAAACTATTTAATTTGTCATTTTTGATTTTTGTTGTGATTTTTTGTCATTTCAGTTTTGTCTGTCATTTTTGTCATTTTTTGTAATTGCAATTTTGTTTGTCATGTTTCGTCATTTTTTGTCATTAGAGTTTTGGTCTGTCATTTTGTTCGTCATGTTTTGTTATTTTGCAGGTTGCAAAAATTGCATTTTTCCCGAAGCGTTGTCATTTCTTGTCAATTTCCGAATACTTTTTGGTCTTTGTCTATATTTTTGGCAAGGTTGCACCAAAATGGCCAAAAAAACACAAAAAAAAATGACAATTTTGCAGGTTGCACAATATGTTCATTTTTCTCAAAGCATTGTCAATTTTCTGTCATTGTTTTGCGTATTTTTGTCATGTAGTGGATTTTTGTAACCTGCAAAATTGTCATGTTTTGCGTATTTTTGTCATGTAGTGGATTTTTGTCATTTTTCTTTATTTCGGCACATTTTTCAATCATATTGAAAGTATTCGAACAATGACAGAAAGATGACAAAAAAATACTATGCTTCGAGAAAAATGTCATTTTTGCAACCTGCAAAATCGTCAGCTTTTTGTCATTCTTGTCATTTGGTGGATTTGTTTGTCTTTTTTTTGGTCATTTGTTGGTGCAATTGTTTCAGAAATATGGAAAATATCAAAAATTATTCGATACATGACAAACAAAATGACAGGCCAAAACTGAAATGACAAAAAACGACAAAACAGTGACAAAAACAATAACAGACAAAACTGAACTGACAAAAAAAACGCTAAAGAAATTACAAAATAAATGCTTCAACCATCTCCAGGGTATGGCTCAGAGTTTCTTTCAAATGTAGTGAAAACAGTGACTACTGAATCATCTGAATCGACGCTTACATTTATTTTTCATCCGCAGGTCATGAAGTAAACACTGCAAGACCATGAATCAATGACAAGCGCGATCGAAAAGCCCAGCGAGAATCAGACCCGTGAACCACGCCATGGAATTGGCCCAAAACATGATCTGCATATACTCCTACTTGACTTGTCTTTATGTGAGCTTGACATGAGAACGCTTGCCCAGTGATACATATCGGACGATTTCTTTCAATTCCATAAGTCTGTTCGACGATACCTCGAATGTGATATGTCGAAATTGTAGAATCCGAATCAAACACCACTCCCAGGGCATAGAAGGTATTGGGAGGTAACCATTCAGGGTGCTCGACGTCACAAGCTGAGGGCCGAACAAAGCCTTCCATGACTGCTGAGGTTGCTCCCAATACGGAAGTATTGTGTCCAAATCCGAAATAATGAGAAATCTTCACACTGTCTGATTGCCAAGAGAGCAATTCCAGTTGTGCATAAGCAGCCACCAAAAGCTTGGATGTTGGGTTTCGACACCCGTTGCTCGTTTTTTTCTTCAGAATTTTGGCG